CGTTTGGGTAAGGTCCTTTATTGTTCTGCTCCAAAATAACATGGTTTGCCCAGTTTGGTTGGAGGAACTCAAGTGACCTGCCTAGAGCCCTGACCTCAACCCTACTGAAAACATTTGGGATGAATTGGAATGCTGATTATGAAGTGAAGTCTTCTCATCCAACATTTAATACCTCCCCTCAAAAATGGGTACAAATTCCCACAGACACCTTCCCTTTGTAGAAAGCCTTCCCAGAAGAGTGGAGGATGTTATAGCCACAAAGGGGGGGGGGGGGGTAACTGCTTTTTAATGGCCTTGGCTTTGGAATGTCCAACAAGCTTATATCAGTGTGATGGCCAGCTGTCCACAAACATGTTACCATATAGCTTACCTTAATATAAAACAAAGCTAGATTAGTATTTTTGTTGTATATATGATTTTTATTTGTAGCCCTCTTTTTTTAGCTCTGTAATACTCTTCAGTCTATAATATAATTTCTCTAAACACATTTATTTCTCTGATATTTAAAAAACCTAGTTAATAATAAATTATATAATTTTACATTTGTCATCGGTGTCTGCTAGATAGCCAGTTCTGTAAATGGTCAGTTATGTATTTCAATAAATGTAATTTGCTATGAAATAGTTTGTGGTTTGGAGTTCACTGCTTTGGAGTGGATCGGAAAGTTGACCAGCTTTGAGCATTTTTAACAGAAAGACAAAATGTGGTGAGAGAACATACATTTTTCTATATGCTTCTCATTGTGATCAGTACAAGGGTTTGTAGCCTTCAGTATTCTTGAGCTCAGGGTAAAGAGCATTGGTTGTCAACTTACAAGGAGCAGGACATCACCAAAGGGCTGCACATAAGGTTAAGTATATATAATGCCAGAAACCAAAGACACACTAGAGGAAATGATGGTCAGAGATTAGGGACATTCTAAGGGTAAGCTTGGAGAGTAAAGACTTGCAGCAGAATTTAGGGAGTGAATAGGGACATGGTACATGAGGCTAGTAGAGATCATTGCTATTGATATTGGCTTTACAAAATAAATGTTTTATGTACTATTAGAGAAGAACATCAGTCCTGTTTTAAAAATGGGCAGGCTTTGGACTCCATCTTGGATGGGAGACCTGGCCTTGAGTTCCTGAAGGGGTGAAGGACCAGGCCAAGTTGATGTAATTCTCGCTTACCAGAAACATACCCAAATCCACTGCTTTGCTCAAGACTCACCCCTCATGTACATGGGCAACCTGGGTCCCAGCCACTGTAGTTCATCTCCACTATCCATCAAAAATACCCAAAAATGTATCAGCAGCACTTCACACTTAGCTCATCTTGCTGTATTTATTGGTTCTCAAGAAAATGACTGCATGGAGCAGTCTTTCCACTTGGGAACCAACCTTCCTTGATGTGTTTCATCACTCCTAGCTTGCTCACCAGGATAGGGGATATCCTTGTGAGCAAGCCAGGAGTGATGAACCGTATCAAGGAAGGTTGGTTCCCAGGCGGAGTAATTGATATATGTAGTCCTTTTATTGATGGCTACACTTGCTGTATTTATTAGTTATCAGCAAAATGACTTCATACAGCAATGTCTCCACCTGGGAAGCAACATTTGTTGACTTGTTTCACCACTCCTGGCTTGCGCACTAGGATAGGGGATATCCTTGTAAGCAAGCAGGAGTGATGAAACGCGTCAAGGAAGGTTGGTTCCCAGGTGGAGACATTACCTGTATGCAGTCATTTTATTGATAGCTCTTCTTACCGTATTTATTTATCAACAAAATAACTGCATACAGCAATGTCTTCACCTGGGAACCAACCTTCATTGATGCATTTCACCACTTCTGACTTACTTACAAGGATAGGAGATATACTTTTGAGTAAGCCAGGAGTGGTGAAACATGTCAGGGATGGTTGGTTCCCAAGTGGAGACATTGCTGTATGCAGTCATTTTATTGATAGCTCTTCTTACCGTATTTATTTATCAACAAAATGACTTCATACAGCAATGTCTCCACCTGGGAAACCAACCATCCCTGATGTGTTTCACCACTTCTGACTTACAAGGATAGGAGATATATTTGTGAGTAAGCCAGGAGTGGTGAAACACATCAGGGATGGTTGGTTCTCAGGTGGAGACATTGCTGTATGCAGTCATTTTGTTGATCGCTCCTCTTACCATATTTATTTATCAACAAAATAACTGCATACCCTGCAAAATACCATGTCTCCACCTGGGAACCAACCTTCATTGATGCATTTCACCACTTCTCACTTACAAGGATAGGAGATATACTTTTGAGTAAGCCAGGAGTGGTGAAACACGTCAGGGATGGTTGGTTCCAAGGTGGAGACATTGCTGTGTGCAGTCATTTTATTGATAGCTCTTCTTACCGTATTTATTTATCAACAAAATGACTGCATAAGCAATGTCTCCACCTGGGAACCAACCATCCCTGACGTGTTTCACCACTTCTGACTTACAAGGATAAGAGATATATTTGTGAGTAAGCCAGGAGTGGTGAAACACATCAGGGATGGTTGGCTCTTAGGTGGAGACATTGCAGCATGCAGTAATTTTGTTGATTACAAACAAATACAGCAAAAGGCACTAAGATTGGGGTGCAGCTGATACATTTTTTTTTTATAATTCTCACCTAGGCAAGAATTGTGGAAGTGGCAGCAAGTACCTGTCACAAAAATGCAGCAGCTCCCAGGGAAAAAAACACACCAAAATTGTTAGACTGAGGAGGAGAACCTTCACTTTTAAATGAAGGTCTGCTTTAAAAACTGTTGGGGTCTAAGAGCCACGCACCAAGCACTGAAGGGCCACAGGTTGGGCACCAAAGAATAGACCCTTCAAAAAACCCCTAATGGCTCATTTACAGTATTATGTTACAGTACCATGCAGTAAAACACACATTTTTCTGCCTCTTACCTCAACACACAAAAAAATCATGGGTGTGTTGTGGTACACCGGATTGTCCAGAATCGCGTAGGCGCAGTTTCTCGTGGATTGCGGTGCATTTTGACAATATGTTTAGAATCAATGGCCTTAACACAACACATACACGTAATAAAATGGCCGTCAAATTTAATGTGGACTCTGTGAGTGCACCACTAGATGATTTCCAGCAATGATGTGTTTGTAATAGCACAGCTATGTCCTAATCTGATTGATAGAAAGATTGCTCTGGATAGATCAGAACTTAGAGGAGATGTTCAAACACATGCTGGAATATTTAGGGACCAGTATTAAAATGTATCCAAAGCCGAAACTGTTTTTTCTAGTATTGAATACAGTGGCAAGGTGTCAGAACTCCTGTCAGGTTTTCATTGCCCGGTAATTCTTTAAGTAGTGAGGAGCGCTGGATTGCTTGATGAGTATTTAAAGGGTTAAAAGCTTTTGTATTGGAGTCATCTGGAAGCTATATTTGTCTGTAGATGGACCTTAGATTAATATTGGATAAGGAATAGAAGTGTACTCCACGTATAACAGTCCAGAATGATATTTTATTTAGGATTGCCAAGCAAAACCAACGCTTTTTGTGGGTTATGAAAGATCAACGCATTTCAGTGGGTTGTGAAAGACCCCTTCTACAAGGCTAGAAAGGGTCAAAAGTCTGAAATCTTGACCAGACCATAGTATCAAAAACATGGTGTAATTTAATGCTGATATGTCCATTGGAAGCCTTGTGTCTTGCTTAACCCCCTTCCAGCTGCCCTTTATGTGGGTGTCCATGCTGGAAGGTAGAGATGGCATCTCAATGAAGGCTGGGATTGGCTCCCACAGCAGTCACATGATTGGGAGCCCTTCGGCTGGCTTCTAATCACAGAGTCCAAAAGCTGTCAGTGAACTGGGAGTGCATTCTCATCACACAACCCTGGACCTGCATGGAGGTATATGTACAGCGGGTGAGCATTAAGGCTCCTCCACCCTGCTGCCACATATATGTGCCTATGGTGGTGAGAAAAAGCTTGTCTGTGAACTAAACTGAGACACAGGGCTCCCAATGGAGCTAATATGAATAAAACAGCATTTTATTTGTTACTCTTGTCTTCTCCAAATGAAGATTTTTTTCAATCCTGAAGGAGGACTTTCATAACTCCTGAAACCTATTGGATTTTCCTCAGCTATCTTAAATAAATATCATTATGGACTTTTTCACTTAAAGTGGTTGTAAACCCTTACATATTCCCAGTGAGTGACTGATCTCAGGTGATACACAAATGGAACAAATCCTCCTACATAAGTTGTACCTGTTTATCTACATCTATTTTCTCCTACATTCATTCAATGTGTAGAATTTATACAGGATCTCTTAGCTCTGAAAAGCAGAGGGTGAGAAGCTGAATTTACATCAGTGAGGAGAGCTGATTGGAGGGGAGGGAGACACCCCCTTCACACAGCACACAGGGACAGAGCTGAAGCTTTCAATCACAGGCTGTGCCCTCCCTGTCCATTTTTCTCTTGGTGTCAAGAAAACTCATAAGAAGTGACTCATGCTTATAGCAATGGGACGAGGCAGCAAACAGAAATGACACTTAGTGCTCTGGATTGAGACAAGTACATACTATAGAGGGATATGCTTTGTTCATATTTCATGTCTGAGGTTTACTAGCGCTTTGTGCTTCTATTTTATTCCTGTATTTAAGTTTTTGTTGCGGCCCACCATTGATATGTACAACCTCGGTAGGAAAGTTCTGTAGTGGGAATGACTGTGTGATATACATTAGCCCCCTACTGACACAATCAAACCAGTTTTCCACTATGCCCAGGATGCCATGATGGTGCTGATTGGGTCGCTTGTCTTTCCATTGATAACTGACCCTTCATATTTCTATGGAGTCACTTGTGTTCTGACTGTCCTCCTTGCTGGATTAAAGTTTGGTTTCTTGTTTGATCTCTGTATCATTATGTTACGATTTCTTTTCAATCTGCCGCTTATGTTCTGCTCTCTCTCTTTTTTATTTCTTTTCATTTTTTTTTTTTATTCTACATTTTTCCATTGGAGGCACTGAGCCCAACAGCGGCAGGAATTCCCCTCTCCCCTATCGGCCAGACAGCCGCCCACTAACGCCTACATACGCTCAGGCCCCCAAACATTTCCATATTCCAGGTAGGAGGTTGTGCTGTGTCTGTCTGCGTCCTGTCCGAGTGTAGACTGTAGGAGAATCCGTCTGTTTCTGTGTTCATTGTCTTGTTTGCTGGGGAGCCATGCTGTGTGTCTGGGGGTTCCGCTCTAGGGCAAACACAATTGCTTTAAGCTGTAGAATGCCCAGGCAATGGTTGGTTGGTTGGTTGGTTGGTTGGTTGGTTGGAGATCCCACAGGTAATCTGATCTGTAAAGCCAACATTTACAGGACATACCTACTTACAGATGGCATTCATGGCTTTCTACAGGTTTAAAGCATAACTCCACCTTGAACTGGAAATTTAATTAGCAGGATCAAGTGCTGATTAGTACTGAAAAATATCTCAGCCCCCAATTCTTTCAGTGCCAAGGTCCATCACTGTCCTTCCTCCTACACCGAAATATTATAAATGCATTAGTCTGCCTCTACACTCTAAATTTTCCTGTCTGAATGAATAGGAAAATATTGAAAACAAAACTCTGGCCAAAAAATAACAAGGTAAAAACGAATAGTCCTGCAGTACTTCTTTACTGCCACAAGATGTCCTCAGTCTGATGGCAGGCAGGGGGGGGGGGGAGACTGAGGAAATGCTTTCTCCTGCCTGCAGCAGACTGGTGACCTCATCTCAGCCTAGGCAAAGTCGCTGACTGGAGCTCGAGGACACCTTTTTGTTGAAGATCCATTATAATGTCAGAAGAAGACTTAGGTTTGTGATGTCAAATTGGGCAGTGTGGCACTGCAAAGCAGGAGGCGGATCCTATGCACATAACAAGATATGCATCACATCTACATGCACATGTACATACTGTATATAATCACAATTATAGAGTCAAATATATTTAAAGGTTTTGCATTGTTTACATCGTTTCCGTCAAGTTAATATGAAAAGAATCAGTGAAAAGACTATATAATCCCTCAAGTGGGCAGAGACAGTGTTGTGTGTTCAGAGAGCCATAGAAATGGGTGCAGCAAAGAGGACGTTCGTGGATATGTTCCTTGCACAGCTGTAGAGGTGATTAGCTCCATCCTGTTATTAATGCAGACAAAGTGATGCCTGGTGCGTCTTACTGTATGCCCACCCATCACATGGCAGTATTCTCTATAAACTGAACAGACTGCAATAGAGATTGTGTTGATTCTTCTCTACTACAACACATCACTGGCTTTAGGTGTTGTTTCCATTTCAAATGCTTGGTTAGTAGGGAATGTCAGCTTATGGGACCATTGGTAATCCATTCCACTCCTAAACACCCTCTACTCCCTGGTCCTCCGGTTGTTGGCATCCCTGCTTCACAAACAAATGTCACAAGAATAATGGACAAACTGATGACGTCACCAATGTGTTTAAAAGCTATTAAATAAAGCACAACATCCCTTTTGTCACCAACTCCAACGCGTTTCGTCCAAAGTATAGGCTTGACCTCTGGAAAATACCAGACTATTCCTGACAGGCTATTCAGCACTGTGTTATTTTAACTGGCAATTGCGCAGTCATGCAATGCTGTACCCAAACAAAATTTATGGGGGTTTTTTCCTCACCAGTAGAGTTCTCTTTTGGTGGTATTTGATCACCTCTGGGTTTTTTATGTTTTATGATATAAACGAAAAAAAGACCAAAAACTTTGAAAAAAAAAAACCCAAAACATTATTTTTTACTTTCTGTTATAAAGTATATCCAATAAAAATAAATAAAATGTATTCATAAATGGTGGCCAAAATATATTCTGCTACATGTCTTTGGTTTAAAAAAAAAATCCCAAAAAGTGTATATTGATTGGTTTATCTACAAACAATGGGATATATACTGGAATTTGTATTTATTTATTTAATACTACTAATGGTGATGATCAGTGACCTATAACAGAACTGCGGCGGGCAATCTGATGCTGGGGGGAACTGACTGCCACTGACTTCACCAGTGACATTAATACAGTGAACAGTGGGAATAAAATGCACTGTCAGTGTACTAATAACACTGGATTGCAAGGGGTTAACATCTAGGGCAATCAAGGGGTTACCTGTGTGCCTAACTATGTGTAATATGTGCTGCTTTTACTAGGGATTTTGTTGTTTTTTTTTCCCTGTTAAGCAGGAAATGAAAAAAACAACAAGATTCCCTGTTAGTGGACACAGCTCTGTATTGTTTACAATGACAGAGCTGTGTTAGGTGTCAATCACCGGGTCCCGGCAGTGCGTCATTGGCTGGGACCCAGTGATCGGCATATGATATAATGAATCAGAGCACAGCCGGACCGGCAGGTGCGCACGCACATATCCCCTGCCCGAGCGCTCAGATCACATACTAGGTACGTGATCCATCGCATGGAGGCTGATTTTCCACTGTATATGTGAGTTGTACAGTAGGCAAGTGGTACATTTTTTTATACATTATCAGGCAGGATTTATATAGCACCGACAGTTTGTGCATCACATTGCAATCTAAAGGATGACAGTTACAATACAATCAAATAAAAGGGGGTTAAAGAGGGCCCTGCTCTGGGTGAAACACGTGTCATCAGCAGTGTGTGGCCCATTTATTCTTGGGAAATGTCAGTGTTTTATCAGTGGCATTTTTGGCATGATAGAATTATGTTTTAATAGAATAAATGTTCTTCTTTTTATTTGGGATAAGAGTTAGATTAAAGAATATCTCTAGGTGTAGTCTTGGCTTCAGAGATTAGGTTGGGGTTAATGTCTATTTCTGTGGGTTGGGGTTAGAGTCAGGATAAAGCATGCATGTGGCAAATGGAGTACATGAATAGGGGGTGCTAGGTCTCCTAATGTCCAAAATTGTGAGTGACCATCTTATTTATTAGTCACTTGGTTTAGGCCGCTCCTATTATTTATTATTATTATATAGGATTTATATAGCTCCAACAGTTTGTACAGTACTTTACAAAAGAAAGGGAGACCGTACAGTTACAACACAATTAAATAGGGTTAGGCTCATGAGAGCTTACAATCTGAAAGGGTGGGAGAAGTGATACAAAAGATAATAACTGGGGATGAGTTGATGGGGAAAGAAAAAGTTCAGTTTTAGATGGAGATGGGATAGGCTTCCCTGGACAGATGAGTTTTCATGAATCACATAAAGGTGAGCAGATTAGGGGATAGCCGGGCAGGTTGGGGTAGGGAGGTCCAGAGGATGGAAGAGGCTCTGGAGAAGTCCTGGATGTGAGCATGAGAGGTGAGGACAAGGGAGCTAGAGAGCAGGGGGTCTTCGGATGGGCAAAGAGGGTGGCTTGGGTGATATTTTGAGATGAGGTTAGTGATGTAGCTTTGGCCAGAGTTGTGGATGGCTTTGTATGTTGTGGTAAGTATTTGAGTTTTATTTGTTGGGTGAGAATAAGCCAATGAAAGGAATGGCAGAGAGGGGTGGTGAACACTGAGCAACTGATAAGGTGGATGCGTCTGGCATCAGCATTCATGATAAACTGAAGGGGAGGGGCGCTAGTCTATGGAGAGGTAGGCCAACAAGGAGAGTTGCAATAGTCAAAGGGGAGAGATAACAAGGGAGTGAATTCACAGTTTGGTCATTAGTTAGAAAGGGGCATGCTTTGGAAATGTTTCTGCGGTGAAGTTGGCAAGATTTGAACAGTGATTAGATGTGCAGCCCGAAGCAAAGTTCAGAGTCCAGAATTATACCAAGCACACTGGCATGAGTGGAGGGACTGATAGTTGTGCTATTGATCTTGATGGAAAAGTTGAATGAGGGGATATGGGATAAAAGCACCCCCAAACAGATGAGGGTGCAAAGATGTCACATCATTGGTAATAGAGTCCAGAAGGATAGTTTATTGAGTGATCAATAATTGAAATGAGTCAACATGTTTTGGGGGGGTTCACACGCACCGTTCTTCTTTTAAATCACCGTGTCCCGGCAGTCCGTCATTGGCTGGGACCCAGTGATTGGCATATGCTGCAATAAATCAGAGCACAGCTGGGCCAGCAGGCACACACGCACATACCCCCTGCCCGAGCGCACCAATCACATACTAGGTACGTGATCCATCGCAGGGAGGCCGCTTTGCCGCTGTATATTTAAGTTATACAGTAGGCAAATGGTACATTTTTTTTATACATTATTAGACAGAATTTATATAGCACCGAGAGTTTGTGCAGCGCTTTGGAGGGACTGATAGTTGTGCTATTGATCTTGATGGAAAAGTTAAACGAGGGGATATGGGATAAAAGCACCCCCAAACAGATGAGGGTGCAAGGATGTCATATCATTGGTAATTGAGTCCAGAAGGCTAGTTTATTGAATGATCAATAATTTAAATAAGTCAATGTGTTTTGGGGCGTTCACACACACCGTTCTTCCCTTAAATCAGAAGTAAACTGCCCCCCCCAAAAAAAGAAAATGGGTCCCCTGAAGGTCTAAGCCATAATGTGCTAGTATGCACCGCATACTATCACATTATGACACACTTGCACATGGAGCCCACCAGCGCAGCACTGTCTTTGATCCCCCAGCTCTTCCATCTTCACCCGGTCTTCCTTCTGGGTTTGTGGGCTCCACGATGACGTCACTCTCGCGCATGCATTCTGGAGCCCTGGCCACGGCACTGCGCTCTGCATTCAACAGCATACAGTGTGCCCTGAACAAGTGCAGTGTCGTTATAGGCTATTGCCGATGTGAATATCTCCTAAACAGTTCACATTTAGGAGATATTCATTGTACCTACAAGTTATCCTGATTGTAAGCATTCCTGTAGGGACAAGTGAAGAGAAGGGACTTACCCCCACTGTAAGTATAATATGACTTCCGCAATGTCCGGTATTAAACAATGTATAGACCTCACATACCAATGGCAATTGTCAGTCTATTTAAACTCCTTTCAATCCACAAACACTAATACAAGTATTTGCCGGAAACAAAGCAATTTACCACCCACAATTTCCATTGGCTACCAGAACTCGGTCGATGGTGAAATCAAGCGGTCAGTTTACAGCCATATGGAGTAAGTGTACTTATCCCTTTTGCCCCTTTACCCTGACCTAACCAAACCCACCCTCTCCCTCCTCAGATGCATACGTACCTTCACTTTGATGGCTGTGTGTATGCATCTGTGTAGGAATGGGTGGGGTTAAGTCACGGTAAAGGGGCAAAGGGGATAATTGCTGTACCTTTAATACAGTTTATTGAAAGGTTGGATTGCAATAGAATTAAAATCAGGAGATCACTACGACAATTTTGTGAAAAGGACTTTTTTCTTCCAGTGTTACGTCGGGGCAATTCAAAACCCATGTAGTCATTCAAAACCATTACTACATCATCAAATTGCCACATGTATGACCAGCTTAATGGTGTCACTCTGCATAGTTACATCAATAGTATTGCCTAATATATATAGGTACATAGTTGTCTACATAGTATATTACATTGCACTTTACATAGTTAGCTTTGTTTATTTTCAAATGCAACTGTTTTATTTTTTTGATGTTTTATCAAATAATTTTTCCTGTGTAAACTTTCTTAGCGCTGGGTTAATATACATCCGATAGTACCACTCCAATTTTTTTTCACCATTAACGTGGTATTAAACTCAAAAGCAAACATTTATTATATTTCAGTTTACCAATTCCTAGATGCAATGGCTGCATTAGTTTTGTTTTTTAGGCATTTTTTTCTTCTATTTTCATCTGGTGATCCAGTCAGTAAGTCTGTTGTTTTTCAACAGAACAAGCTGTCCAGCAGAATGTACCAGTTACAGAGTTGAGACAAACCATCTACCAGTGACGGGTGCTTACAATAATCAGCTTTTTATTTATGTGAAACCTTTATCCCAACAGGAAAAAAAACTGTTGTTGTAGCTGTAACTTCTTATAAAGTTACATAGTTAGTCTGTCTGAAAAAAGACAACAGTCCATCCAGTTCAACCATAAAAAAAAAAGTTATAATCCTATACCCACAGTTGATCCAGAGGAAGGCAAAAAAATACTCAGCAAAGCACGATCCAATTTGCTCCTGCTGGGAAAAAATTCCTTCCTGATCCCCCGAGAGGCAATCGGATATTCCCTGGATCAACTTTACCTATAAATGTTATATCCAGTTATATTCTGTGTATCTAAGAAAGCATCCAGGACTTTTTTGTAGCAATCCACTGAGCTGGCCAGAACCAACTCTTGAGGGAGTCTATTCCACATTCTCACAGCTCTTACTGTGAAGAAACCTTTCCATGTTTGGCGATTACATTTCTTTTCCTCCAGACGTAAAGTGTGCCCCTTGTCCTCTGTGATGACCTCAGGGTGAATAACTCTACACCGAGTTCACTATATGAACCACTGATGTATTTATACATGGAGATCATATCCCCCCTTATGTATTATACATGGTGATCATATACCCCCTTATGTATTATACATGGAGATCATATCCCCCCTTATGTATTATACATGGAGATCATATCCCTCTTATGTATTATACATGGAGATCATATCCCCCCTTATGTATTATACATGGAGATCATATCCCCCCTTATGTATTATACATGGTGATCATATCCCCCCTTATGTATTCTACATGGAGATCATATCCCCCCCTTATGTATTATACATGGAGATCATATCCCCCTCTTATGTATTATACATGGAGATCATATCCCCCCTTATGTATTATACATGGAGATCATATCCCCCCTTATGTATTATACATGGAGATCATATCCCCCCTTATGTATTATACATGGTGATCATATCCCCCCTTATGTATTATACATGGAGATCATATCCCCCCTTATGTATTATACATGGTGATCATATCCCCCCTTATGTATTATACATGGAGATCATATCCCCCTTATGTATTATACATGGAGATCATATCCCCCCTTATGTATTATACATGGTGATCATATCCCCCTTATGTATTGTACATGGTGATCATATCACCCTTTATGTATTATACATGGAGATCATATCCCCCCCTTATGTATTATACATGGAGATAATATCCCCCCTTATGTATTATACATGGAGATCATATCCCCCTTATGTATTATACATGGAGATCATATCCCCCCTTATGTATTATACATGGAGATCATATCCCCCCTTATGTATTATACATGGATATCATATCCCCCCTTATGTATTATACATGGAGATCATATCCCCCCTTATGTATTATACATGGAGATCATATCCCCCCTTATGTATTATACATGGTGATCATATCCCCCCTTATGTATTATACATGGTGATCATATCCCCCCTTATGTATTATACATGGTGATCATATCCCCCCTTAATCTCCTCTTCTCAAGAGAGAATAAATTCAGTTCCTCTAATCTTTCCTCATAGCTGATCTCCTCCATGCCTCTTATCAGTTTGGTTGCCCTTCTCTGTACTTTCTCCAGTTCCCCAATGTTCTTTTTGTGAATTGGTGCCCAAAACTGAACTGCATATTCCTGATGAGGTATTACTAATGATTTGTACCGGGGGAAATGATATCTCTCTCTGGAGTCTATACCTCTTTTAATACAAGAGAGGATTAGCTTAAGTTTGGCTTCAATCTGTTAGTGTATTTAAATCTACTAGTACTGACACTCCTCCATCCCCACAGACTGACAATGCTGCTGTCCAAAGGTGCTCTTCATCCAGAGTGGGGTTGCTCTAATACAGAAAGTTTGCTACCAGCCTGATCACCAGGTGAACACAGAGTGGAAAACAAAAGCCAAAGAAAGTGAATGCAGCCACCATTTCTAGTAATCAATAGGAGGCAGTAAATCACATTTTTGGTTTTGGGTTTAACACCACGTTAACAAACCTCTGCTACAGCATTGGGGTTCAGCTAATTTTTTTCATAGCCGTAACTCCGATTGTGTTTTACATTTTGCATTCTGCGCATTTGGACAAGGGTACCCAAAAATGCACAGCCCTAAAAAGTCTAGGTGTTTATAGAACTTCTAAAAGGCTTTAATATTAGTACATCAAATGACTTGATAAATAAATGGAGAAAAATGCTTTTATCATAAGCCCTTTGAAATGGTATTTTGCCTCCAGCTCCAGTTGTCTCTTGAAATAGTTGCAAGTTGATACTTAAATGTTTGTCAAAGAAGAAACTGATACATTTCTGTTCTGTTCTTCCATGCTTCATGTCACCATTGCTGTGTCTCCATCTGTCTTGTGTCTTTTTTCCGATAATATATGATAATGTCTCTTCGGTTTTGATGGCATCTGTTTGTTTTATGTGTAGTGTGGCAGAACAACTTTTTCATCCCGACTTTGAAGGCCAGCATTGTTGAATTTTCTCTGTGAACCTGTCACCTCTCGGAGTTTTCAGTGGCGGCTAAAAAAATCTTTCTCTCTTTCCGCAGACCAAGGCGTGAACATGTACCGGAAGCCCCCCATCTACAAACAGCACGGTAACGTCTTCCCTGAATTGCGGATTCTTCTCTCTGCCTGTTTTGCTGTGTGGTCGCGGCCTGGCCTCTGCATGTCCATGTTCTCGGTGACCTCGCCAACACTGCGTGGCTTAGTGCAACCAATATTTGGCTTCCTAAAAATGGATGGTCGCATTTTTTTTAATGAAATGTGGATCCTCAATTTGTATTTCTGATCCCCCACCTCTCCCGAAACTCCCACTTGTCATCACCAAGGAGATGGACAAGTAAAAAGAATTTATAACAATTTTATTTACGGTTTACCAGGTATTCCTAAATTTGGGCGTGTGACTGCGGATTTCCTGCCGTCGGCACTCAGTGGGTAACATTTAGCCCAAAATATCCCCAAATCATTGCACTGGTAGAACCAATTTAACCAAACCAACCAGTCATTTCATTGTGACTGGAGCTAGTTTCAATTGTTGATTGGAGCCTGGTGAGAAATCCTACTAATCGATGATGGTTGGGTTTCTTGAGCATAGAAAGATTTGGGTTTAGCAGGAGATTCCTCCATGTGCTTTCTCGCTGAATGCGTACAGACTGATCAATGTCCCCTGCAGCTCCAATTATCTGTAACAATATGACGCTCTACCATCCCATCTCATATCTCTGTAACATTGTCTTGTTTTATTTTGTTTTATGGTGTGTTGTGTGTGTCATCCTCCTAACATGATATGTACCCCGCGGCCTCATCGTATATTCTCAGTAAGTACTTGGCTTCCTCACTCCCACAAAGCGCTTCTGGGCACTTGGCTTAGTCTGTTCTTCTCATTTCCTGCACTCCAACTCTTTAACACCTCTAAAAAAAAATCTGGATACTTTAGCATGTCCCTGTGAATCCTCCTCTCTCCATTGTTACATTTTATCACACAAAAAAAAAATCAGGGAAGAAAAGAGATGGATGGAGAGTAGAAGGATAACACAGACAATGAAATAGAAAAGAAACGTGTCATCTGCACACACCAGGCCTGTAAAGACAAATGACAGAAAATCAGACTTCTGTGTATGCATCCAATACACTTATATATAATGTACAACGCGCCTCCGTCTCTCCATCGCTCTCTTATCTGAGATCGGGCTTCAGGGTCCTGTACTGTGTGTGAAATCACAAATCACCACCAGAGAGCACCAGAGCTACATAGAGATACACTACAACTAAAAGGGGTATTTATTCAACATTCAGATGTCCTGTCCTTTCCCCTTCAGTTCTTCTTTCCTTTTTCCTCCCTTACAACTTTCTTCTCCTTGTCTTCCCTTTCCTTTTTTTTCCCTTCATTCATTACAACTTCTTTTGTTTCTCTACCTTTCCCTTACATTGCTTTCCTTCTTCCCTACCTTGCAATTTTGTCCTTTCAGCCCCTTTCCTTTTTCTTCCTTCTTTACTTTGCATCCTTTCTGTTCTTTTCCTATTTTTGTTGTTTTCTATCCTTTTCTTTCCACTTTCCTTTCCCTCCCTTCCCTTCTACTTTCCTTCCATTTCTTTCCTTTTCCTTGCCTTTTCCCCCTATTTTTCTGTTTCTTTCCCTTTTTCCCCTTTCCCTCTCTTACCCCTCCTTTCCCTTTCCCTTTCTTCCTTTTCCTTCACCTCATTTTTTTCTTCCTTCCCTTCCCCTTCCTTTCCCCCTTTCTTCCCTTCCCTTCCCCTTTCTTCCGTTTCTTTCCCCTCATTTTTCTTCCTTTCCCTTCCTTTTCTTTTCCTCTCTTTTACGTTTCAGTTCCTTTCCTCTCCTCTCCTTTCTCTTCTTCTCTGTTCTTATCATTTCCTTTGCCTTCCTTTTCATTTCCTTTCTTTTTCTTTTCAGCTCCTTTCTTCTCCTCTCCTTTCTCTTCTCCTCTGTTCCTATCATTTCCTTTCCCCTTTCTTTAGGTTCGCATCCTTTCCTTCCCTTCTTCTTTCCTTGGTAGACCCTTCCCTTACTTTTTTTTCTTCTCCGTTCCCTTCCTTTTCTTTCTTTTCCATTCCCTTGTTTTCCCTTCCATTTGTTTCCCTTCTTTCTTTATGTATTCATTATTTCTTTTTTTCCTTTCCTGTCATTACTCATACACACACACACCTACAGAAGATACAGCATCTGTCAGCATCGTTAGTTTAGAAGACACACAGGAAGGATGTTACAATCAGTAGCACACAGTCAGCTGTTTAGGGCTCCTGCCTGATCCCCCTCCTTCTCCTCTGCCACTAATCCGTTATAATCCTCTAACTTTCTGGGCGGTTCTGATTTGTGCATGAGCCTCTCTTGGATCTGTCTTGGTACTGTAGGCTTTGTGGGTCACTGTGCACCAGGAACAAGTGGGATCCTCTCTTAAGTGGGGTCACTTAGGTAGAAGCAGTTAGTGTCATAGGTCAGAGCCAGGAGAAAGGGTGACCTTGTGTCTTCCCTGCAGTCACCTTTGTGGGAAGTGTTTATGGACTGCGTTGTGACATATTTAAAACGCTACACAAATCCTGAGATAGACTGGCTGATTCCTTTAAGAAAATAAGGCATTTGGGGATGAACTAATCCAGAATAGAACTGCTTTTAATTTCTGATTTTATGGAATCTGGACCCTCAACTAGGACTGTGGAGAAATATTAGGATTGCGTAAAATTTCAGAGACAAGGATTGTGGCCAGATGTCTGTAGAGTGAACAAAGATGAAAAAATAGAAATAGAGGTGGCGCAGAAAATTAAAAAAAAAAAATCATCTCTTTGTGTGTATATATATATATATATATATATATATATATATATATATAAATAAATAAACTTTTTTTATTTACTTTTGGGTAGGAATATATTTGAGTTTAAACTTCTTGAAAAATATTTAGATTTTTTTTAATTAAAATATATTTTATTCACTCAATTTGCAAACTTTAGGTGAAAAAAAGAATCACAATTGTTCCAACAAATATATTTTTTTTGGGGGTAATAATGAGATTGTGATAGTTTATTTTAAAGGCGTCAGTTAGTCCCATTTAGTGACAGTATGTTTGCTGAACATTTTTTGTGCATATTAGTGTCTTTACATTCCCTAGCCCCCCTATATCCATATTTTAATTGTTCCGAATGCAAACTATTTCCAGCTCATTGATTCTGTAATATCTAGAATAGAATGACAAACTATAAAACTTGCACCTTCCAATAAGTGCAATGGCAGATCCCATATTCCTGTCCCGGCGGTTCCTTTTAAGAGACTGTACGGGTATATGTCACCTAAATTGGTGAAAACCTTCAGGGTTTGTTTCCCTGAGCTGCCATTTTTGGAATTAATCTTTTATAAATTCATAATCTGAAAATAATTAACTTGAGAAAGTAGAGGCAGTTTCTAAGCTGTTGAATGGAAATCTTGGATTAAATCTATTGGCCTCTTCTGGCTGAAGCTTATTGCAGGGAAGGAAAAGGTTTTGCTGAAAATCAGAAGCAGCTTTTGGGGCTGGAGACAAATATTTGCTGGGGTTGCAGCGTTCCAGGATCACACAGCCGAGGAATGCGCACATTTTCTGCACAATCGCCTATGTCTCCAATTAACGCGTTGGCTCCGTCCATGGAGTAGGGTCATGGAAAACCTTGCCAACATTTTATTTTTTTCAAGTTTAAAACTATGTGCATGAAACATGCTGAGATCCTATGTGAACTGAAAGACTTTAGAGTAGTTGATGAGGGGGCGGTGGGGTAAGATTTTTTTCCAGTCTGTTACTTACAGATATTGTATTGGTGGTATAACTGCCTGAATTATATTTTATTATCTTTCTAAAACCTCAAATATCAGATTGTAAGTGGCAGGTTCTGCCCTGTCAGTCAATGCACAGTCTAACATGTTTCAGACACTGGGAGCATAATGGCATTGTTTGGTTGTGTACCTAGTTGTTTGGCTGATGTTTTGAATTCAAATTCCTCTTCATCTCTCCACTCCTTCGAAATGAAGTGATGTCAGGCAGAGGCAGATTGGACAGGTAGAGCTTGCAGGATCAGGGAGAAGGAGATGGTATACCAGTGTAGGACAGACATATGCTGAAGAGATGTCCAGTAGGCACAGTAGGCCAAATTCTGTCAAATAGGCCCATTCTATGGAAAGAGGTGTCTTTGACAGGATAACTGGTCAGATGTGGGTTTTAGGATTGTGGCTTCTTGGGGGATGAGTTGTCAGAACTGAACTAGCAAGAATATTGTGGTAGTTAGCTGGTTGGGGGGGTTTGCAGGGTCACACTATCCTGGTGCACGGGGCTCTTAGTCACATGATGCAAAAGGTTGGCATTCCTGCCTTGGCACATTCTCCCCACTGAGCCATACGAATTCCTCCCTGATCCCATCCAGATGCAGCTGCCATGGCAGCCTTCGCCAACAGCTCCGACGATATCATCAAATCCTCCAAGTTTCCGGCTGCCCACGCTCCAGCACCCAATGAAGTCCCAAAGATTGAGACCGACTACTGGCCAGGCCCACCCTCACCCGCCGCCATAGGTAGGCAGACCGAACTGTTCACGACATGGCTCTCTTCCCATGAAACTTTGCTGGTAGGCCCAGGAGGATTGGCAAAATGGATAACACATCTGCAGAGGTTTTCAGGAATTTGCTGACCATAATTTTGAACCTCCCTGAAGATCCAGTTTGGTGAGGCTGTTTGTTCTGGCGTCATATTATCCTTATGGTGTTCATCAGCTGGAATTGACAGCACTAAAATCTTTAATATTTGTTAATGTTGATCAGAGTTGTATTTATGTGTATTGGTACCCCACAGCAAGACTCTTAGGGGCCCCCTTACCTCCCTGATCTCTATCTCAAAGACAATTCTTCTACCAATACTGCTTGCATAAAAAGTGTATAGAGAGTTCCAAACTACTGTGTATATGTGGATTAATTGTATCAAAATATACTTGGCAGATTCTATTGCTTCCTACATATTTCACTGTACAAGCAGACAAATCTGGGCCCCATCGCAGTTACCTGGTTTGCTATTGCTAAGTTACATCCTCGATGTTGATAAATATGAGCTGTGGGATTGCTAGCTAGTACATTACGTTTTTTTTTCTGAGCTGATATCTCCTCCACAAGGCACATACATACATAATGTTGGATGTTTTTCAAAACTAACATACTCCATGTAGACATGATGGTATGGAAAATCAGATTTTACCTATATCAGTCATTGATGGAAGCCAATGGATTGCTTTGCCTATGATGCATCTTGGAGACTCCAACCCTGAAATCTCTTGTTCTGCTCAAGTTTACTGGGAGTCTCACTCCTCCAACTGTACTCTATATAGTGTGAAAAAGTAACTAATAAAGTAGAAGTCTCTTGTAGCAGTTGAGTGGAACTGAAAACACAGATGCATAGATAGATTTCACCGATGAAGCCTCTGAGATATGGGAAACCATTAGATGCTTCCACAACTGTAATATCATCTTGGCGGGCTGACCCTTTATAGTTCCAGAAGTATACATTTGGCAGTTTGAAAAATTAATGGATAGTTGCAGATCCACAGTGATCAGATTATTGCTGAAAGCCAATATTTATATTGTATGGCTAAAGGTTTGTAGACACCTGACCGCTACACCTACATGAGCTTGTTGGCCAGTAATATGAAGTTGGCTCCTCTGTTTGACGCTTAAACAGCTTCCAGTCCACAAGATTTTGGAGTGTGTCTGGGAATTCGTGCCAATTCGTAAAGTCAGGTACTAATATTGGATGTTGTCTTACAATCACCATTTTAATTCATCCCAAAGGTGTTCAGTAGTGTTGAGGTCAGAGCTTTGCCACTCCAGTTTCTCCACTCCAGTCTGGTCAAACCATGTCTTTATGGAACTGGCTTTGTAAAACAGGGGCACAGTAATATTAAAACAGAAAAGGGCCTTCACCAAGCTGCTACCACAAAGATGGAAGAGCACACTTGTCTAACATGTCTTTGTATGCTATAGTATTACTAGTCTCCTTTATTGGAAGCACCTGAACTCCATCATTTAGAGGGTAGTCCACATACTTTTTGGCTTATATAAGGTATACTGGTCAGGTGTCAACAAACATTTGGCCATATTGTGTTGTGTCTTGTATCATCTTTTTCTGAAATATCCCCTTGTGTATGTGGACTGTGGTACAGCTCATGAAACAAGCAATATGTCCTCTACAGACTACATTGATCTTTATGTTTCCACCTTCTCCTCACCTTCCGTGTTCCACAAATCACACATCATTCTGTTTTTTGTGCTTCATAAAGTGTGATTTGTCGGAATCTATAGATCCCGAAGTTCTACAGCCATTGTTTGAATCTCATCATTTTAAACTCAAAACACTTGAAATCTACCAGAATATTAGAATTCTTCTGAAACTACAGCTCATTTATTTCGGAACACAAGCATTTTAGCTCCCTCTGCCCTTAAATTAATTGTAGATTTTTAGGATCTGTAGATCTGTCTATCTTGAAGGCAGCATTTATCTGTAATATGTAAAGACCAACCCCAGTCAAATATATTTTTAATTTTGGATTAGATGGAAAAGGCTAGAAATCTCTAGTTTTTGCTCTGTCCACTATGGATAGACTTTCCTTATTTCCTGTCCTGGTGACCACCCAGAACAACAGACAAGTGAGGTGAAATCCCACCTTTGACAGTTGTTTTAACCCTTCCATATCTTATCCAAAACTAAAAAAAATGGGTTTGGGTTATACATCCCCTTCAAGCCACTGTGTCCCCAATATAGGGACACAGAAGTCTTCAAGGTTAACTCTTGTTCCCATCTCTTACTTAACAATAACTCTAAACTCTTGGCTCCACACAGCTCCCCATAGTTATATAAGATTGGTCACCAGACATTTTCCTAGGGCCTGTTCAGACCACAAAAATGCACTCTAGATCCGTTCCGGATGCGTTTCTGCATGCACATTTTTTTACGCATTTTTGATACATACTGGTGCACTTTTGTTGCATTTTGTGATGCATTTCGGGATGCATTCTAAATGCTTTTTTTCATTTTTTTTCTCACTGTACTGTGGTTTAATGCGTTTTTGATTCATTCCAGTGCATTTTTTATGTGTTTTACCATGTTCCAGTGCAGGAAAAATGCAGCATGTCCTTCTTTCTTTTTTTTTTTTGGAACTGGAATGTCCTGGAACTGACCGCACTGGGGTGAACCATGTCATTGGAATCAATATAACCTTCTTTTCATGCGTTTTTGATGCTGAAAAAAAACACACTGGAATGCATGTGATGTGAACTGGCCCTTAAAACAGAACAAAAATATTACTGAAAACTGATGTCTGCACAGTTGTGTACTCATTACAATCTAATTTGGGAGAACTGTAATTTACAAATGTTTCAGTCACCCTAATATTTTCAGTGGATTGCTTCGATCTGCGAAGAATTGTACAGTTCAGGAACCCAGCCAATCATGAATCGGGATCAATTGTATGATTCCCAGTGAACTGTAAAAAACTGTTATATATAGAGGATATAGAGGAGCATGTGTGTGATATATATATATATATATATACAGTATATATATATAAATACTTTTTTGATATTTCATGCCCATTTTTTTTGGAACACAGCTCACCACAATGCATGGCGTGTGTGTTGTGGTGCGTTGCAGCTTCAGATCAATGCCCGCTACTGTAGTTCTATGTTGGGTGCCATTCTAAATGACTGGCAATACAACACACACTACAGGCTGTATATGCAATTCCCCGAGTCCTTATCCACAGCTGTCTGTTACCATATTGGGGGGTCTCACTCCATGTGACTATATACTGTATCTATATTTAGCTTTCCAGACACAATATTCACATTGATATAGAAAGCGCTTCATTTAGTATCATGCAAGTTGTGTTTTCAGCCTCTGGGGGCCCAGATGTATGTCACATGGTATCCGGATTTACCATCTGCAGCATATCCTCTGATACAGTGACACTCGGCTATCCCAGAACAATCAGCCTTCTGTATTGTGCAGCCTGAAGTTTAATAAATCTTCATAATTAGGCAACATTTCAAGTGGGCCTGTCATGTCCCAGCTCCCAGCCTGTGAGTTGATACAGAAGGCACTCTGTATGTAACTAAACTTTCTTTTTAAATCAGCTAAATATGTTCTGGATGCATTAAAATTTAAGGCGTGCAAGTTTTACAGTTGTTTTTAAAAAGTAGCCACAGCCTGATTTGGAGAGCCTGTCCCCTGCCAGCATACTGCAAAGAAGGATCTTGCTGTGGTCTCTTTGCAGAGGTCCAATATGCAGAGCTAGAGATCTCCAGGCTGCATGGAGTATGAGTATTGCAGATTGTGGAGTTGTATCTCTGACCCAGCAGGGAGCTTGTTAGACCCCTGCTGATAGACCACTGCTTCTACCCAGAGAGCAAGGGTCCTTCTCTGCAGCATGCTGACAGGAGACAGGCTTTTCATCCCAAGCTGTGGCTGCTTTCTAAAGAAAACAGACTGTAAGACATTGTACTCCTTTTTTTTTTTTTATGCACCTGATTTGTGTTAAGCCGATTTAAACTGAAAGATGGGGACAGTAGCCCAGTGGAGACTATGTGTGATCTGCTAATGCTGCTTCCTAGTCAGTGAACAGGCTGGACCACTGTGGGATCACTGCATGGTAACCATATTAGAGAGTTCATTGTCATATTATTTTCGGGGATTAGGTGACCCCAGGAGGCGGTCGAATGGCCGAGATGAAGAGGACGAGGAACTATTAAAACGTCGCCAGCTGCAGGAGGAGCAGTTAATGAAGGTGAGAGAGCCGATGTAAACCCATTGCTCTTTTAAATCTCTTTTACAAATAAATAACTACAGCTAGTATAGAAAATGAAATAATCTATATGTGTAAAAATTATGTGTTGATCCTGCCAGAAATTGTGTGAGCCTATAACTTCCTGTGCTGCACTCTTTATCAGTTCCCAGCTTTCTCTATAGACCACAAACATCCCCCCTTTCTGTGTTTTGCAGATGAAGAGGGGTGTTGTTCTGTTGTCCTGCTGTAGGATGACAATGGAGGTGTCTCATAGACAATACAGGGAGTGAACATTGTCACCCTTGGACAGGAAGCGTGTTACTTGCAGGATGGAAATAAAAGAAAAAAATCCTGAAAAAAAAGAAAACTAATGCAGTCACCACATCTAAAGTCTGATATTACCAGAGTTAACCTTTAAAGGCACCGAAGAGCAAAATATTACTGATATTTAAATTTAACCCCTTGCTGCTAGACTATAAAACAAAGCTCCACCCAAAAGGGGAAGTTCCTCTTTAAGCCTTTGTCCCCCGCTCCCCATTAAGGATTGGCACCTTTGGGGAGCGGGTACCCGAATTTGACAGGTACCCGCTCCCACTTCTGCTGCAATCGCCTAGGCAATCGGAAGCAGAAGTTGTCCTCCCCCCGTCCCTCGCTGTAGTCTTCTGGGACACGTGACAGGTCCCAGAAGACTATGGGGCCATTCACAAAGCGCAGCGCTACATGCGCAGTGGGCACCCGGCTGTGAAGCCGCAAGCTGTCATAGCCGGATGCCCACACTGAAGATGCCGGTGCCAGGGAGAGAAACCAGTGGTGGTGAGGACACCGCTGGACCGAGGGACAGGTAAGTGTCTGTATTTTAAAAGTTAGCAGCTACAGTGTTTGTAGCTGCTAACTTTTATTTTGATAAGGGCAGGCAGTTACTGAGTGACAGGAAGATCAATGGACTACGAGAGTGCACACCAGCACCCTCACAGTTCATTGAAAACTACAAGTCGTCAGCCGCAATGAATGACGGCGCCTGTAGTTCATTCACTCTCAGAACTCTGTGAATGAATGACGCAGCCATGTGGGTGGAGCTCCGCACAGCCAGGTTCTTTTTGAATAGTAACAGTGAGTGCGGGAAGATGATCGGGGATGCATGCTTAACATGTTACACCCTAAATATGGATGTAACGTTCACAAAATTGAACTTATCCCTTAAAGCAGGGGTCTCCAAACTCTCTAAAATAAGGGCCAGTTTGCTGTCCTTCAGACTTTGGGGGGGGGGGGGGGGGGGGGCAGACTGTGCCCAGTGGGAGTAAACAATGACCAATCTTTGGTAGTAGGGGGATAAATAGTTTGTGACAGTGGGAAGAATAGTGCCCCATTGTTGGTGTCAGTGGCGGGTGTCAGTGGCGGGAATTATGCCCCATTGGTGTCAGTGGCGGGAATTATGCCCCATTGGTGTCAGTGGCAGGAATAATGCCCCATTGTTGGTGTCAGTGGCAGGGATAATGCCTCAAGGGCCAGATAAAGGCAAGCCAAGATCCACATCTGGCCCCAGGGCCACAGTTTGGAGACCACTGCTTTAAAGGAAAGTAATTTGAAGCAGAGCAACCCAATGCTGCAGCACTAGTTTAACTCATAGCAGCAACAGATAGCCAGCGACTGATTTGCTAGCAATAAATCACTGGTAATGCTTTGTGATTTGTAGCAGAAATTAATCACTGCTACAAAAACATCTGACATGCCTTATTATACAGTAGCAGATCAGCAGTTATGTCTTCTATGATTCTAGAATATTATCAACTATTAATAACTGTTCATAACTCATGTGTGATGTGGTTCTGTCTTTAGCTGAATTCAGGTCTGGGTCAGCTGATACTCAAGGAGGAGAAGGAGAGCCGAGAGAGACCGCATTCTGCCGGCCGATACGACCCCTCAGTCCTGTCTTGTAAGTCGAGGTTCAATTTTCTGCGCTTTGATTTCAATTCTGTATTTATATTGTCTGTGAGAGTTCTCAGTTATCCAGGTCAATGTAGAATTAAAAATAATGAATCTTATTCAACTGTTTTGTAATACTGAAGACTTTCATAGGTTATCCAAGCCACATTCTAATGAGTGTCAGGATTGTACCCTGGTATTAATGTCTCTACCTTGGCATTTTGACAAAAATTCTCACCTACAGCCATGTGACTGGAAGGATTAACATATTTGCAGATATCCTGATAATAAAGCCTAGTATACATGGGCCGGATGTTGGACGGCATTGGCCAGTTCAATAGAAACTGGCCGACATTTGGCCCGTGTGTATGGTAACCAGTCTGACAGAAGCCGGCCAAAAAAGGTTTGCTGATCGACTCCCGAATGGCGGGTAGAACACAAAAGCACAGCAGGGGAGATCGCTGTACTAACATCGGATAGTTAGTACAGCAGCTCCTTCTGAGCTGTCAGTTCTTTGTGGTGTTTATCGTTCAGCCTGGGTCATACGAAAAGAAAAACTAGTAGTGTGTACCAGGGGTGCACTGACAACTCATGGGGCGGCCTGGTAATAGGGGACCATGGGGCCCCTGTGTCCTTGCCCATACTCAAACCACACCCAAAAAAGCCTATGAAAGGTACCAGGGACATCTCATGGGGCCCCCTACTGACTCACGGCCCTCGGGCAGTGCCCGAGTACCTGAATGGTCAGTCTGCCCCTGGTGCTTAAGGATGGGATGATGTAACTAGAACGGGGGGGGGGGGGGGGGGGGTCCACATCTTTCACGCCTCCCATCCTGTCTTGGACCATCAACATCTGCCTTGACACATCCCTTGGTGATTGGATGAACGTGTCAGTGCTACCTGTGGGGATAAAAATGTTGGGGTAGCTTCTGGACCTCCATTAGAACTGAAGATGTGGCTAAGAGAAGCTACAAAACATCTGCAATATCAATCAACATTGTCCAGGAACAGGAATGGGGCTTGTCTGGTAGATGCTTGTCCAACCTGTTCTTGGACAATCAACATCTACACATTCCATGGTGATTGGATTAACGTGTCAGTGTTACCTGTGTGGATATAAATTCTGGGGTACCTTCTTGGCCCTCAATAGATTTAGAGAAGCTACAAAACATCTTCAACATAGATCAACAGTGTCCAAGAACAGGAAAGGTTCTTTTGGATGTGGATTGTCCATCCCGTTCTTGAACAATCAACATCTATACATTCCGTGGTGATTGGATCAAGATGTCTGTGCTATCTGTGTGGATATAAATGTTGGGGTATGATCCTGACATTCATTAGAACTGAAGAAATGTCTTGGGTAAACTTCAGAATGTCTTCAACTTTACAGAAAACGTCCAGATGATGTGTGATAAACTACTACTAGATATACTTAGACTGATGTGATGTAAACATGGAATTTATACTGAGGGATTATGAGACATTGTAGCTCTACTCTCTCACAATATTCTACAAAAACTCTTTTTTTATTTATTAAAAAAAATGTTAATACTTTTGTTAATTTTATTGAAAAGTCATTTTGCACATAACTTTTTTTGTATGCAAAATTATTTTTTTTTCTGCACAAAAAGATGACTCACAAATATTTAGGATTAATGATTCTCACCGTAGCTCTCCACTCCGATGTGTCCAAGACGTCCTCTCTTCCGGGTTACGGTCGAAATGGCCTCCACCGGGTAAGAAGAATCAATGTGAATAGTTTGCTGGTTCGTAATAGTTTACTTAAAGTGTTACTTAACCCAGGACCCTGCATTCACTGTATCTGGTCTCCCCGGACCCTGCATTCACTATATCTGCTCTCCCCGGACCCTGCATTCACTATATCTGGTCTCCCCGGACCCAGCATTCACTAGATCTGGTCTCCCCGAACCCTGCATTCATTATATCCAGTCTCCCCGGACCCTGCATTCACTATATCCAGTCTCCCCGGACCCTGCATTCACTATATCTGGTCTCCCCGGACCCAGCATTTACTATATCCAGTATCCCCGGACCCTGCATTTACTATATCCGGTCTCCCCGGACCCTGCATTCACTATATCCGGTCTCCCAGGACCCTGCATTCACTATATCCGGTCTCCCCGGACCCTGCATTCACTATATCCGGTCTCCCCAGACCCTGCATTCACTATATCCGGTCTCCCCAGACCCTGCATTCACTATATCCGGTCTCCCCAGACCCTGCATTCACTATATCCGGTCTCCCCGGACCCTGCATTCACTATATCCGGTCTCCCCGGACCCTGCATTCACTATATCCGGTCTCCCCGGACCCTGCATTCACTATATCCGGTCTCCCCGGACCCTGCATTCACTATATCTGGTCTCCCCGGACCCTGCATTCACTATATCTGGTCTCCCCGGAACCCGCATTCACTATATCTGGTCTCTCCCGGAACCCGCATTCACTATATCTGGTCTCCCCGGAACCCGCATTCACTATATCTGGTCTCCCCGGAACCCGCATTCACTATATCTGGTCTCCCCGGAACCCGCATTCACTATATCTGGTCTCCCCGGACTCTGCATTCACTACATCTGGTCTCCCTGGACCCCGCATTCACTATATCTGGTCTCCCAGGACCCTGCATTCACTGTATCTGGTCTCCCCGGACCCTGCATTCACAATATCTGGTCTCCCAGGACCCTGCATTCACTATATCTGGTCTCCCCGGACCCTGCATTCACTATATCTGGTCTCCCTGGACCCTGCATTAACTATATCTGGTCTCCCACAGTACACACAACATGGAAATGCAATTATTTTAGTTAATATAAACTGCTAAATACCTTATCTCATCAGCATTATATAGCTGTCTTGTGACTTATATGAGTGTCTGGCTGAGCACTGGTTTAAGCTTGTAGGAGTTTTCATTCTGCTCTGACTGTCCTCTGAGGCTGCACAACCTTTGACCCTTTGTTTTGACAGTGCTGATTGGCCCTGTGCTGATCACATGCACCCTCCCAAAGTAAAAAAAAAAAAAAAAAAACTCTCTAGCAATGCACACCAAACTGAGCATGTGCAGAAAGACTCCTAGAGCTCTGTACTATTAGCAGATGGATTGGGGTCAGTAGAAGAAGGGGAGGATCAGAGAAGACGGGATCAAACAGCCTTTTTACACAATGTGGAGGATTAACCCGTTAGGTTCCACAGTGAGTATAACAAGCATGCTTTACTGCATATACAGACTGATTGTACTGTTGTGGGTTTAGTAACACTTTAACAATGCCCTGTTTTTGAGAAGCTGGCACTTTACCTCATCAAATTATAAGTATTACATACATAATGGTATTTAACGTTTCCCTCCCGGTATTATAGCTAAGGATACCAGGCAAGCTTGGAAATATAACCATTTAGCCTTGCCTTCTCTTTCCCTGTGCTTTGAGGTTGATAATCACAGATCCAAACCAGTGAATATATTGTATTGTTTATATTCTGCCGTTCTGCAGTTGGAGGACAACCAGGGAGGCATGAGCTTCTGTTCCCTGTTTTTAAGGCCTCATCATGCACCAGGATGCTGCTTTTATAGGCATTTGGCCTTTATTTTGCCTCTAAATGGCCCTCTCTGTTAGCCTATGTGTCACTGCACATGTAGGTGTTTACAGGCACATTAGAAGAGGAGCATTTAGAGGCAGAAAAAATAAAAAAAACACCATCAGCGCATTCTGGAGAGAAGCTGAAGAGCGCCAAAAACACGCTTAAACGCAACGCACATGTAGCACTTGAGTGTTCTTGACAAATGACCAGAATAAATAAATATTCTGAGCAATGAAATGCATAAATGCTATTCTGACTCAGATTGTTGTGATAGCGATTTATCCCTTGTGAGACCTCTATGCCTAGCCTGTATAAGCAGATATAATCACTGTGGGCAATCCTTATCAGATAGCTGAACTCACCAATACTGTGTTCATCCAGAAGTTGCTTTATTCTGTACATGTGACAACAGGATACAGCAGAATGAATGGTTTCCAGTATTATGCGGTCAAAAGATGATACTTTCTGTAGCGTACTATGCAGAATACATGTGTCCCTGTTACATGTGGACAGTTAGCTGCCTCCATGACACAGGAAGTGCTGTACTCAAGAAGAAGGGAGGAGCTTCATATACAAAGGAACTGTGTCATAGATCTCAGGGAGGCAACATGAAAAACAAGTGCATTACCAAATAAGGCCACTGGATGGCAGCATATAACTAACTATAGAAATGTCCATAGGAAATGGTAGAAAGAATAAACTATATGAATTCTCATGTACATTAACATAAATATTAACTGTGTAAAAGCATAAATGCCAAAATGCTTGATGTGCTTAAATGTGTCTAAACATTCCTAAATGCGTCTTTAGGCGTGTTTTTAAGTTGCATTTTTCTCCCCTGGAACATAGGTGTCCAGAAGAGGAAATAAAATGTCCTGTGTGCATGAGACCTTAATGGCTGCAGTTCCAGGAGCCATAAATAATGATTTCTGTACTGCGCATTACGGAATACCCATATAATTGGGATAAACAGCTTCTGGAAGTAACTACATACTAGTTGACCCCATCCCATGTGATCTCTGCAGGCCAATTGTGAAAAACAGAATGCACACACAGAGGGATATCTGACATCTTCCTTATTCTCAAGCATGGTCGATATACTATATGCAGGGTCGTGGATAAGGGGGTACCACCAGTCCTCCTGTATGGGGCCCAGGCAGCTGGGATAATTGGATGTGGACAGGGAGGGTCATCAGCACGAATTACTGGAACTGATCCCCTGTATGGCTCTTCCTGTAGCAGCTGAAAGTTGGTTAGTTCTCCTCTCCCTCCCAGCTGCCGCAAAGATAGTTATACAGGGGATCGGTTCCAGTAATTGCTCCCCCCCCCCCCTGCACCCATCATCCTCCCTGTGCACCATACATTTCCCTCTGCTGCCCAGTCCCCCCTTTGTGCTCCCACCCCCTTTGTGCTGCCAGCTTCCCTCCTCTGCTTCCCACCAGCAGCTGCAAGCATACAATAGGATCCTTCAAAATGGGTGATGGGTCCGGTAAATATGTCACATTAACCAGCCCCTTTCTTTCCCGAATGAACACAATGAGTGATTGGTACCGGTCACTCACTGTATTCATTCATCACTGAAGAATCGTAAACTCTGTTTTTTTGTTTGTATGTTTTTTGGAGGGGGCCCTGTCAGGTCAGCTGTATGGGGCCCTGTGGTTTCTAACAGCAGCCCTGACTATATGCTGACTGTGATGTAAACTGCAGACAGGCTAAATGCTTCTCATCGGGAGCCAATGGGACAAGCTCCCGATCATGTGACTGCTATGAGAGCCAATTATAGCACAAAAGATACAGAAGCTGATCCACCTCCTGGGCATTAAAATTCATTTAAAGAGCCATCGGGAAGGGGTTAAATGACTGGGATCATTATACAGGAGGCAGAGGACGACATTTCTCAGTGTTTGTATATCGATACAATGTAGCTAATTAGCAGTGATTAGGCAGGCATGGGATCTGCATTGACTTTCATGTAATATTTATACTAACAAGCTGTAACTTTCCTATGAGGACAGCCAGAGCTTCCTGTGAAATGTCAGCTCACAGCGTGCTCCAGGTCAGCGTTCCATGTGACCCTTTTCTTCACTGCCGCCATAAACCACTGATTTTTCCATGGTTAGGGTAGACATGACGTTACAGAAACCAAAAAAGGCCAGAGTTCAGCTTTGATATATAGATCTCAATATGGGATCCCAAACTTTGGACCTGGTTCATCAAACTGCAGTACGGTTTATGGCATCTTACAGTGTGCTTAAAGTATGTTGAGGATGTTAGGAGCCACTCATCCATGGGTATGAAGGCACTTTAGCATGCCTGCACAGCCGCCTGAGTGTGTCCATCTGACAGCCAAAAGTCACCTTTTCAGATTTACACACACTATTCTACATAAGTCAGTGGCAGTAAGATGTATTACATATGTCAGTGGCAGTAAGATATACTACATACGTCAGTGGCAGTAAGATGTACTACATACGTCAGTGGCAGTAAGATGTACTACATAAGTCAGTGGCAGTAAGATGTATTACATACGTCAGTGGCAGTAAGATGTATTACATATGTCAGTGGCAGTAAGATGTACTACATACGTCAGTGGCAGTAAGATGTACTACATAGGTCAGTGGCACTAAGATGTACTACATAGGTCAGTGGCAGTAAGATGTATTACATACGTCAGTGGCAGTAAGATGTACTACATACGTCAGTGGCAGTAAGATGTACTACATACGTCAGTGGCAGTAAGATGTATTACATACGTCAGTGGCAGTAAGATGTACTACATACGTCAGTGGCAGTAAGATGTATTACATACGTCAGTGGCAGTAAGATGTACTACATACGTCAGTGGCAGTAAGATGTACTACATACGTCAGTGGCAGTAAGATGTACTACATACGTCAGTGGCAGTAAGATGTACTACATACGTCAGTGGCAGTAAGATATACTACATACGTCAGTGGCAGTAAGATGTACTACATACGTCAGTGGCAGTAAGATGTACTACATAGGTCAGTGGCAGTAAGATGTACTACATACGTCAGTGGCAGTAAGATGTACTACATAGGTCAGTGGCAGTAAGATGTACTACATAGGTCAGTGGCAGTAAGATGTACTACATACGTCAGTGGCAGGAAGATGTACTACATACGTCAGTGGCAGTAAGATGTACTACATACGTCAGTGGCAGTAAGATGTACTACAAACGTCAGTGGCAGTAAGATGTACTACATAGGTCAGTGGCACTAAGATGTACTACATACGTCAGTGGCAGTAAGATGTAATACATACGTCAGTGGCAGTAAGATGTACTACATACGTCAGTGGCAGTGAGATGTACTACATATGTCAGTGGCAGTGAGATGTACTACTACATACGTCAGTGGCAGTGAGATGTACTACATAGGTCAGTGGCAGTAAGATGTACTACATAGGTCAGTGGCAGTGAGATGTACTACATAGGTCAGTGGCAGTAAGATGTACTACATAGGTCAGTGGCAGTGAGATGTACTACATAGGTCAGTGGCAGTGAGATGTACTACATACGTCAGTGGCAGTGAGATGTACTACATAGGTCAGTGGCAGTGAGATGTACTACATACGTCAATGGCAGTAAGATGTACTACATAGGTCAGTGGCAGTGAGATGTACTACATACGTCAGTGGCATTAAGATGTACTACATACGTCAGTGGCAGTGAGATGTACTACATACGTCAGTGGCAGTGAGATGTACTACATAGGTCAGTGGCAGTAAGATGTACTACATACGTCAGTGGCAGTGAGATGTACTACATACGTCAGTGGCAGTGAGATGTACTACATACGTCAGTGGCAGTGAGATGTACTACATACGTCAGTGGCAGTGAGATGTACTACATACGTCAGTGGCAGTAAGATGTACTACATACGTCAGTGGCAGTGAGATGTACTACATACGTCAGTAGCAGTAAGATGTACTACAAACGTCAGTGGCAGTAAGATGTACTACATAGGTCAGTGGCAGTAAGATGTACTACATACGTCAGTGGCAGTAAGATGTGCTACATACGTCAGTGGCAGTGAGATGTACTACATACGTCAGTGGCAGTGAGATGTACTACATAGGTCAGTGGCAGTGAGATGGTTAAAGTATATCTTAAGTCCAAACTATTTTAATTTTTTTTCAATAAAGTCCAACTATGTAGGCAGCAGCCAATAATGGTCCTCCAATGATCAAAGAGTCCAAAATAACATTTTATTAGAAAATTTGAAGAATTAGAAAGTCAACACATTTCAGGGGTTCAGACACCCTCACCTCATCAGGGCACATGTTAGAAAATATATAAAGATTCATAAAAAATATTACATTTCATGTTATTAGGAGATAATGTAAATAATACGAGTAGATACTTTATAACAGGGGTCTCCAAACTGCGACCCAGGGGTCAAATGCGGCCTGCTGCAAGTTTTTATGCGACCCTGTAATGTAAGAGGGGGACCCTGATGTAAGGGGACTTTGATTGGGACCCTGATGTAGGGGGGCTCTGATTGGGACCCTGATGTAGGAAGGCTTCGATAGGGACTTCGATGTAAGGAGGGCATCTGATGGGGACTCTGATGTAAGGAGAGCATCTGATGGAGACCCTGATGTAAGGAGAAAATCTTATGGGGACTCTGATGTAAAGAGGAAATCTGATGGGGACTCTGATGTAAGGAGGGACTATGATGGGGACTCTGATGTAAGTAGAGAATATAATGGAATCTCAGATGTAACAGAGGACTATGATGGGTACTCTGATGCTAGTAGGGAATCTGATGGGGACCCTGGTGTAAGGGGAGAATCTGATGGGGGACCCTGATGTAAGGAGGAACTCTGATGGGGACCCTGGTGTAAGGGTGGCCCTGATGTAAGGAAACTCTGATATAAGGGGGCTCTGATGGGAACTCTGATGTAAGGAGGGAATCTGATGGGGACCCTGATGTAAGGAGGAACTCTGATGGGGACCCCGATGTAAGGGTAGCCCTGATGTAGAGGGGCTCTGATAGGAACTCTGATGTAAGGAGGGAATCTGATGGGGACCCTGATGTAAGGGGGGGCCCTGATGTAGGGAGACTCTGATTTTAGGGGGCTCTGATGGGAACTCTGATGTAAGGAGGGAATCTGATGGGGACCCTGATGTAAGGATAAACTCTGATGGGGAAGCTGATGTAAGGAGGCTCTGATGTAAGGAATAACTCTGATGGGGACTGATGTAAGGGAGCTCTGATGAGGACTCTGATGGGGAATCTGTTGTAAGGAGGGAATCTGATGGGACTCTGATGCAAGGGGTCTCTGGTTGGGACACTGATGTAAGGAAGAACTCTGATGGGGACTGATGTAAGGGGACTCTGATGAGAACTCTGATGGGGACTCTAATGTAAAAGGGCACTGAGGGGGACCCTGATATAAGTAGTAATGCTGATTGGGGCTCTGATAGGGAAAAAAAAAACTCCGCATTCAACTTAGTCATTAATTTAAATTTGATTCCTTCATTTATGAAAAAAAAAATTCATTTTCTTTTTGGCTCGTAAATATTTGCTGAAAAGTTTGGAGCTCTCTGCTTTATAACAGGACATGTATTATATTGTCACTTGTAGCCCTGAGGAGGGGGATGTCTGAACCCCCAAAATACTCGGGTTTCCTATTCTGCTGATAATCTAGTAAAGTATATGCCCATTGTTGGTGGTACCTTCCTGTGTCCTACATAACTGGCCAATAAAACCCACAGTGGTTGCAGCTTCCAGGTAACCGTTGTCCCACTCCACCCAAAACAATACAAAACTTGCCTTTAGATACACCTTATGTTTAACACTGATAGTATACTTACATTAAAATAAAAAAAATGAACATTTTCAGCGAACTTCCTGTCTGTACAATATCAGTGACTTTTCCCTCTTTTGCTGCAGCCGGTGTCCACGGATTTTGTGCAGTATGACAGTTATGGGGACATAAGCGGTGGGGTTCGAGGTAAGCAGCACTATATATATAAAATATATATATATATATAATAACAAATGAGTGTATAGTGTTACAAAATAATGAGATCCACAGTGAGAACTAATGACTATCTTTTCTGTTTCCCCCCTACAGATTTTCAGGTAGGTGTCACCTCGCCCCTAAGATGTTTTACTGATAGGGGGCAGTGTGGTGATATATATCTAACCTCCGCTCAAGTCTGCCCTCCCGTGGTGTGTATGAGATTTACACGGGTGAATGTACTGTTGTAGGGTAGGAATGATCTATGTCTGTCTGTCCCCAAAAATGATCTGTCTGTCCCCATCTGTCTTTGTGTTAAAAAATGTCACAGCTTTAATTAAATACTTCATGTATATGTATATATATATGTAGATATTTATATATATGTGTGTGTGTGTGTGTGTGTTTATATATTTTTATTGTTCATCATATTTTTATGTTTGACTCACCAGGGACTTTCATGCATACTGCATCTGAAATGCATAGAAATGAATTACATCAGTATTTGTCCTCACAAACCTTTTACATTTTGTGTTCGTGCATATTCACTGTTTTCAGTCTTACAGTATAGTAAGTTTTATTTCTTAATCTGTCACACATATGACAAAATTACAGAACTAGATAATGGCGATAATGCAGAATTCACTTCTGCATGTTTTTTTTTATTGCATCCATGTGTTTTATTGCTGAGTAATCAGCAGTAAAAACCTAATGGTTTCAATTGAAATATCCATTTCTACAGCAGACAGCTTACATGAAGTCAGGAGCCCTGGGCATTACTCTGTGCCAGGACTTTGCAATGCAGCTAATGATACACCCAGCTGAAACATTGGTTATGTAATTAGTGAACTGCTGCGTGTTCTATCCCTGTTTTATTTGTGACGGGTTCACTTTAAATAAATACCTTGGGTTGCTCTGGTTCCTAGGCCAAATATTGGTTCTGGGACAGTGAAGCTGAAGCTATTAAGCTTCACTTCTAGGGACATCATTGCTCCAGAGCTAATAGTATGCAGCTTCCGTCTGATGCTTTTCGCATGGGTGTCTTGCATTGCTATCTGCTGAGTACAGCTGTGATTGTCATCATGGTTTTCTGCATGTATTATATCCTGTAATCTTTGTACTATTCATCTTAATTGATATAAAGGTTTAATACAACCTGTTGTGCTCTGCTTCCCTTCTGGACTGCTCTGTACTGCTGTGGCACTGCAATGCTGGGATGTCACACAGCAGCTTCTATAATGTACTCTCACTCTGCACTACATGGCGGCACTTTGCTTGGCAGCTTCACACTGCTTACCTATTACTCAGATTTATATAGCACTGACATATGCTGAGCTTCACAGAGTACATATTACACAAGGCAACCAAAAGAGCTCACAATCTATTGCCTCATTAGTGTACATATTCCAGGGCCAGTTTGATCTGAAGTCAGTTAACTTACCAATATGTATTTGGACTGTGAGAGGAAATATACAAACTCCATGGAGGTTGGCTGTGAATTCTGCAAAGCAAAACTGCCAACCAGTTATCTGCAGTGCTGAGAAGTATTGAGTACTGATAGGTCTACTGCAGTGTGATGGTGCATCACTAAATGTGATTGTGCAACAGTGCAGTGCCACCCTTAGCTGGGACCAGTGCAGTGCCACCCATGTTGGATCAGCAGTGCAGTGCCATCTTTCGCTGTGGCCAGAGCAGTGCCACCCATGTTGAATCAGCAGTGCAGTGCCATCCTTGGTTGATGAACAGTTTAGTGCCATCTTGTGTTGATCAGCAATGCAATCCTATCCTTGGCTTGGCAGCAATGCAGTGCCATCCTGGGCTGATACCATGTTCGTCGCCATCCTTGGTTGATCAAAAATGCAGTGCCATCCTTGGCTGGGAGCTATGCATTACAATCTTTCTCTAGGAGCAGTGCAGTGCCACCCTTGGCTGGTCAGCAGTGCAATGTCTTCTGTGGTTAGGTAGCAGTACAGAGCCATCCTTGGCGTGCAATTAAGTGCCATTTTTGGATGAGCAGCTGTGCAGCATTATCATTTGCTAGGAGCAGTGCAGTGCCATCCTAGGCTGGGAGCTATGCATTACCATCTTTCTCTAGGAGCAGTGCAGTGCCATCCTTGGCTGGGAGCTATACATAACCATCTTTTACTAGCAACAGTGCAGTGCCATCCTTGGCTGGGAGTCATGCATTACCATCTTTCTCTAGGAGCAGTGCAGTGTCATCCTTGGCTGGGAGCCATGCATTACCATCTTTCGCTAGGAGCAGTGCAGTGCCATCCTTGGCTGGGTGCCATGCATTACCATCTTTCTCTAGGAGCAGTGCAGTGTCATCCTTGGCTGGGTGCCATGCATTACCATCTTTCGCTAGGAGCAGTGCAGTGCCATCCTTGGCTGGGAGTCATGCATTACCATCTTTCTCTAGGAGCAGTTCAGTGCCATCCTTGGCTGGGAGCTATGCATTACCATCTTTCTCTAGGAGCAGTGCAGTGCCATCCTTGGCTGGGAGCTATACATTACCATCTTTCTCTAGGAGCAGTGCAGTGCCATCCTTGACTGGGAGCTATGCATTACCATCTTTCGCTAGGAGCAGTGCAGTGCCATCCTTGGCTGGGAGCTATGCATTACCATCTTTTACTAGGAACAGTGCAGTGCCATCCTTGGCTGGGAGCTATGCATTACCATCTTTCACTAGGAGCAGTGCAGTGCCATCCTTGGCTGGGAGCTATGCATTACCATCTTTCGCTAGGAGCAGTCCAGTCCCGTCAATGCTTAGCAGCAATGCAGTGCCATATTTCACTCGGAGCAATGCAATGCCATCTTTTGTTAGGAGCAGTGCAGTGCCATCCTTGTTTGGTCAGCAGTGCAATGTCATCTGTGGTTGGGTAGCATGTAGCAGTGCAGTGCCATTCTTAGCTTTAAAGCACTACAGTGCCATCTTTCTCTTGGAGCAGTGCAATGCCATCTTGGCCTAATAAGCAGTGCAGTGCCATCCTGGCCTGGTTAGCAGCACAGTGCTGTCCTTGGGTGGTCAGCAGTGCCATTCCTGGGTGGTCAGCAGTGCAGTGCCATTTTTTTGCTAGAAGCAGTGCAGGGCCATCCATGGTTGGGATCTATGCATTGCCACCTTTTGCTAGGAGCAGTGCAGTGCCATCCTGACCTGGCAAGCAGTGCAGTGACTTTTTTCCTTCTGAGCAGTGTAATTCCATGCTTGGCTGGGAGCAATGCAGTTCCATCTTTCACTAGTAACAGTGCAGTGCCATCCTTGGCGGGTCAGCAGTACAGGTCCATGATAACACATAAGTGCCTCTTTCATCTTCTGGTTTTTCTTTTTTGATGCCACCTGACTGATTCTATACACTGGGGACAGGTAAAGGGAGAGAACATTTCAGCTTTATTGTTCATGCCGCTGATCTGGGCCCTTCAGTCATGCCAGGGGCCCAGAGGAACGCAGCAGGCGTGCTGGTGCAACAATAAAGCATTAGAAAACTGAAAGATGATTGCAGACGGGGACAGATCACTGACTTGCCCGTGTAGACTGCAGACAGCGTCACAAGACAACAGTGATAACATTGAATGCTTAAGCGGTAAATCTACCCAAACTAAGAATGATTCTGATTTGAGGGAATGGCTGCAGCTGGACGCACCCAGAGGCTTCTCCATCAATTTGTACCAGCTTAGTTTCCAGCCTTCATAAAGTGGAGCCCAAAGGAGTCTCCCTCCACCTGCTGCATACGCTAAGCAATGAGAATGGCTGCAGCAGTTGAGCAGAGCTGGAGTCTATGAAAGATGTGTGAAGCCGACGGGTGCTCCAGCCGTTTGGTCACCAACCCAAAATTGGAATATCAATTCCTGGTGGATCTAGGCATTTATCCTGCTTACCCCGCAGTGTAACAGAGCCCCTGCCTCAACCCCGTGCGCTCTGTGCGTAGACCTGTCTGTGCGCTCGTCCTGACTTCCACGTAGCTTGCATGTGTACCCGTAGAGCTGGTGTGTAGGAAGCGCAGTGAACCCTCCCTGCTTCTGTGTAACTGGTGCTTCTCTGAATGTTTCTCCACATAGTCACTGCCCGATGGTCACGTTCCCGTCATGAGAATGGATAGGGGTGTCTCTATGCCCAACATGTTGGAACCAAAGGCAAGTTCTCCTTTATACACTACAAGACATGGCGCCGGGGGGAACTGGATAGCGCTTGGGGTGCCTCGGCTTTCACTTCACTCGGCTCCGGGGGTCCTCAAGGTGAAGGTAGCCGAGGGTTCAGGCTAGAAAGTTTTATTACCATGAAATGTTCGATTTTTGGGTTAGATTATGGGGTGTCAGTCCAGGCAAATCAATATTGGATGGACCCGTCATGTTGGCTGCAGCTGCTGACCACTTTCTGAAAATGCTAATGGCCTGGCTGATATAGCTCTGGCTACCAGATTAGGAGCTCTAGTTTTAATGTCTCCATACCTTTCCCAGCCCTGAAACTGAAGCCAGAGGCAGCCAGGCTAAGAGCATTTTCGGAAGGAGGTCAGCAGGTTTACAGGACAGGTCGTGGACTGCTGTATATATCAGTTTTTTTGGGTGGACATAATTTCAATACAGGAGCCTGCAGTTGATTATCTTCGGATAATGCAAATTTCTTGGCTGTTTTACTTTCTGGCTTTAATGTGTTCCGGGTCAATGACCAGACAGAAGGGTCCGGAAAGTGAAAATAATATGAGGTTGGGTGCACACCTTATGCATGTTGGAAACCGGCACAAAATTGCGCACTTTCCTGACATACACAGAAACGCGATGCCCATTAGCAGACACACAGATGCCATTAAATGTCAATGGCACTCCCAATTGTCTGCTAATGCACCAGGGCTGGCCTACCTGCAACCCGCGGAAAATGCACAGGAAGGTGTGAGTGCCGCCACCTGTGTGGTGTGAACCCAGCCTTACCACACAGGTCAGTGACTCGTGACACAGGGTTAACCTGACAGCCAGATAATTGGCATTTTTCAGTAAAAGCCATCAGCAATGGCGGCCCTTGAATTCCTCTAAGAAAAGGTTTTCTTTATGCAAAGATGCCTGGCAGTCATGGCCCTAAAGTCGGGCCCTAGCTTGTTTTCTGGGGTTCCGGGACAAGTATGACATCATAACATGCTTGAATTGGTTTGTGGGTGCAGAAGGTTCTCACGCTGACAATTGGGCAGTCCTGATCAGGGCTTGGGGCCCCAGGATTGTCACGACTCCCGGGGTTTCCTACAGGGAGAGGGCTGCACCCCTAGCAGTATCTGGAATAATGGGGGGACAGTACTCTGTATCCGGTTGCTCTGTGCTGCCCTCTAGTATATGCAGGCGACAGTGAGCCCTCCCTTCCCATCCCACACTGCCAGTCACACACATGACTTGCCCTCCCTCTGCACCAGAGGGTGTTCTGTTCTATCGCAGAGTCCGCCAGTACTGATGATTTGCTTGGTTTATCCCAGATTTACCCCTATGAGATGCTGATGATAACAAACAGGGCTCGGAACAAGATCCTGAGGGATGTGGACCGGACTAGACTGGAGGTGAGACCAGTGACTCTTCCTTCGAATACCGCTCTTTTATTTAGTAAATATTAAGGGCCCATTTACTTCTTTGCGGTGTGTTAACAGGCGTTATGGTAAAGCAGCCTATTCAACTTCAAGGGCTGCCAATGCATCCCAACGTGCTGAAGTATGGTTGGGTGCATTGGCTCCAGCTGCTGTCAATCACAGCCAGCAAGCAGGGGGCGGGGCCGACCCCTGTGCTATGTGTCCTATGGAAATACAGAGCCGGCTCGGGAGCGAGCATGCACGAATGCCCACAGAGCACGTAGCTTAGTACTTGGCAGGGGGGGGAGGAGCCCAGAGCACCGGCTGGGGACCCCAGAAGAGAAAGATCGGGGCTGCTGTGTGCAATAACTTTGCACAGAGCAGGTCATTATAACATGTTTGTTATTTAAAAAAAAAAAAAAAGGCTTAAGGTTCCATGCATACTGGCATTTTTTTTTTTAAGTTCTAGAAGCTGTTAGCATTTTTTTCTGCTCCTAGAAGCTAAACAGTGTTCTCCTATGTGTCCATGCACACTGATTTAGGCTATTAGCATTTTTTGAGGTTCAGCCTCTAGGAGCAAAAAAAAAAATGTTTTTGTAGAGTTTTTATGGAGCGTTTTTCCAGCAGAAAAAACGCTAAACGCTACTAAAATGCTCCAGCTTTTTAAAATGCTCCATGCTAAACAGCTTTTTTCCAGTTTTTGTCTACATGTACTATAAAAATGTTAATGCTTCTAAACGCTACTAAAAAATATGCTATTACCAGTGTTTTTTATCCAGTGTTTTTTGAGCTTAAAAAAAAAAAATGCTAGTGTTCATGGATCCTTGATATATGTTTAAGAAAAGCACATGACCCTTTTTATCCAATGCAGTGTATTTGTGGCACACTAATGCAGGAGCATTGTCTTAGAGCAGGGTGGGCAAACTGGGGCCCTCCAGCTGTTGTGGAACTACAAGTCCCATCATGCCACAGTCATGATGCAACTGTCAGCCTTTCAATGCCTCATGGGACATGTAGTACCATGACAGCTGGAGGGCCGCAGTTGCCCACCCCTGCCTTAGAGCATCAGGGTGCCACTCCAAGTACATGACAATACATGTTGCCACTCCAAGTACATGACAATACATGTTATGTGCATTATTGCTCATTGTAATAACACATGTGCTACGGCAATACAGAACTGTAAATGGACCCTTAAACCCCAATTGAATTTTCAGTTTACATACATGACATCAAAACTAAAGGTGTGCAAAGCCTTTTTCTAAAGCAGCCACAGCCTGAGTAGAAAAGCCTGTCCACTGTCAACATGCTGCAGAGAAGGACCCTTGCCCTGTGGAGGGAAGCAGCGGCCTCTCTACAGAGGCCTAAAAAAACACCCCTAGCTAAGATCGCTCCAATGAACAAGGAGCATGAGTTTCATTAATTCCAGAGCTACTGGCCAGACTCAACAGGGGGTGTCTCAGACCTCTGCAGAGAGGCCGCTGCTTTCACGAAGAAAGCAAGGGTCCTTCTCCGAAGCATGCTGGCATGGCACAGGCCTTTCTACTCAGGCTGTGGTTGCTTTCTAAACAAAAGAAACTGTAGGACCTTGCACTCCTTCTGTTTTATGCTCTTGGAATGGATTTAATGGATCTAAACTGAAAGTTGAGTTGGGATTTAAATGACCTTTGCTGACCTACTTTTGAAATTGCTAGCTGGCTGGCTGTTATGCTGATCCACTGGCTTAGAGTATATATGCAGTCAAAACTTTTTTTTTCAGTTTTACAAAGAGTAGGTAAAGGGTTAAAATATACCTAAACCTTTTGTTACACCAGATACACACTATGCATGCTATGCAAGAAAACCCCCCCTGCAGATTTCACCTTACTGGAGCTGATTCATCGGATGTCATGTGACTGCCATCTCATTCACACAGGGCTGAGGCTGTGGGTGGAGCTTAGTGGCACAGCGGAGAAGGTTGACAACGCTACTGCAGCATTGGGAGTTGCTGGTTTAGAGTTGTCACCCTGTTACAGGAAGTCCAGGAGGCACTGCAGAAACTGACAGGATCTTAAAGTAATCAGGGCAAAAATCTACACAAAAACAAAATGTAAATCCGTAGGCTGTTCAGATTTATTTTGTAATTTCTTACAGTACTTGCAAAAATAATTTTTTTTTTTGCTGTCTGTGCCCTATCAGAAAAACTTCCCTTTCATTGTGTCCTGGAGACACAACAGGGAGTGAGAGGACGCCTCTCCAAGTGAAGGTGTCCATATTGAAAGATTTCCTCTCACTTCGCCCCCATTCACACCTGAGCGGAGTGTTTTTGTGCATTTTTTTCTCATGTCTTGTCCCGTGTTTTCATGTGCATTTGCAAACGTTTATTTTATTTTTATTTCAGGTACTTATATAGCGCCATCAGTTTATGCAGCACTTTACATATATATTGTACATTCACATCAGTCCCTAACCCTCAAGGGGCGTACAATCTAAGGTCCCTAACTCACATTCATACATACACATACTAGGGACAATTTAGACAGCCAATTCACCTACCAGCATGTCTTTGGAGTGTGGGAGGAAACCGGAGTACCTGGAGGAAACCCACGCAGGCACAGGGAGAACATGCAAACTCCAGGCAGGTGATGCCATGGTTGGGATTTGAACCAACGACCCTAGTGCTGCAAGGCGGAAGTGCTAACCATTTAGCCACAGTGCTGCCCCTCTGTGTGATTTGTTCAGGCATTTTCAGGCTTTTTGAGTTCTGGCATTTTTGCATTAGCCAATAGAAACAAATTTTATCTGTGACATCAATTGTTGCCATGTTTTGCTGTGGCAGAAAATTGCTCTTGCCCGTACGTCAAAACACGCGATTTGCGCGTTTCCATGTATTTCTATGGAAATGAAAACACAACAAAAACACATCAATGTGCCGGAATGGAGCTACAAAAGTAGCTCCAAATTTTTTTTGAGTTTTGGGCATTCTGCTTTAGGAGACTTGGTGTGGAGATGTGAACCATCTCCATGGTGTAATATTGATTTTTTTTTTTCTCCCTGAGCGTTTTGGAGCTTTGAGCTTCGTACTACAAAATGCTTGTATGAATGAGGCCTTCCTGTTCTGAGGACAACTCAAAAAGTTTGACTTTCCATTCACTTTCTGTCCCAGTGACCAGGAATACTGAGAGAATGAATATCCCCAGTGAGGACACAGACAGCAATAAAAACCTGTCAGGGGTTCTAACCCTTCCACACACCATCCAAATGTGGGCTGTAACCAGGGGTGGACTGACAACTCATGGGGCCCCCGGGCAATAGGGAATCATGGGCCCCTGTGTCCTTGCCCAAACTCAAAAAAGCCTATGAAAAAGGTACCAGGGGCATCTCATGGGGCCCCCTACTGACCCCGGGTCCTCAGGCAGTGCCCGAGTTTCCAAATGGTCAGTCCGCCCCTGGCTGTAACAATCCTTTGTCCCAGCTGAGCGACTGAGGAAGTATTCAAACATGCAGAAAATGAAATTACAGCTGCTGAACAAAATGCTTGTTCCAGGTCCAAGTATTTCAGCAGGAGGATTGGCATGACAGCCAGGCAAAGCGCAAATCCTAAAGGAATTGCAGTTGTTTCAGCACAGATTGTTTTTTACTTTAATTTTTGTAAAATAAACACGTCATTTAATAAATGAAGATTCTATGGAGTGTGGATTTAATGTCCTCCGTTCTCTCCGCAGCGTCACCTGGCACCCGAAGTGTTCCAAGAGATCTTTAAGATGACGATACAGGAATTCGACAAGCTGCCGCTTTGGAGACGCAATGAACTGAAGAAGAGGGGCCCGGCTTTTCTGAGACATTTTACTGGGCGTGTCCCCTGCTGGAGCCCTTCTGCGGCTGTGTCACTTACAGGAAGCAACCCAATACTCTGCCCCGTGTGATAAGATATACCCTTGAACGGGGCGGTGCTAGTGGGAAAGGGGGCATGGTGCCACCCTGCCTTCCCACGCTACTCCAAATCCTGTCTCTAGGCGTGCCATTGGACAATGGATGGCAGGTTTCCTTAAACTGCCACACTGGCTCACTCTGCCCTCCCCTGCGGATCACTCTGCCCTCCCCTGCGGATCCAAATATAGGATGAGAGTGAAAGTGGCCTGGGGGTGCTTTTTTTTCTGTGTGTGTGTGTTTGTGCAAGAGAATTTAACTTTATAAAGTCGATATAACACTGGGCTGTTGTAACCTATAGCGTGGACTTGTCATAGCACTGATAACAGACATGATACTAGAGCCACTTTCTTTAGAAAAGGGGTGACCATTGTTGAACTTGGCTTTAAATATATCCAGAACATGGAAAACCTCATATCAGTTCTTTAGGTAGGTGGAATCCCTCATCATTGGTCTAGATCATCATGCCAAACCATCAGCTGGCCATAGAACAAGACCTTGCTCCAACTTTTCCTCCTCTGGGACAAGTGGTACGGGTGAGGAACCCTGGGTATGGGGCGGTGGTGTGGATCAGGAACAGAACTTCCTAACTCTAAGGCGCTAACAGCTTAATTTCCTATATTTTAATAATTTTTTTTTGTTTTTATAGAAAAGGGTTGATTATTAGTAAATTTGTCTGCAGTAAATATATCAAGTCATGTTCATGCCATGGAAGACCTGATATCACCTATAGGTATGAGGATTTCCTCAGCATGGATCTATCTCTTCAGGCCAAACCAATGGACGGATAAAGTTAAAGACCTTACTCCAACTTCTGCTCCTCTACGACAAGTGGTACAGGTCCTCTAGGACACGTGGTACGGGTACAGAGTGCAATACCTTTCTTCAACTTCTTCTCTAGAATAAGTGATACGTTTCAGGAACCCTGGCTATGGAGTGGTGGTGTCAGGAACCCTGGTAATGGAGGGGTGGTACAGGTCAGGAACAACTTAATTAAAGGAAACCTGAAAAATGTGGCCCTGATGCTTCCAACTCTAAGAATTGAGCAGGGTTTCTCATGTTGAATTGTTCCTAAGAAAAGGGGTGATCTTTCCTAAATTTGGTTTTAGTAAATTTATCAAGCCAGGTTTATGCCATGGAAGACCTGATATCACTTCCCTAGGTATTTTGAATCCCTCAGTATGGGCCTAAATTGTTGGGCTAAACCAATGGGTAGATAAAGATCAAGACGCTACTCTGAGTTTTGCTCTTCTGGGACAAATGGTTTGGGTCAGGAACCCTAGGTATGGGGTAGTGGTACGGCTCAGGAACAACACTTAAAGGGAACCTTCCTATATGTACATTTGAAAAATGCGGACCTGCCAGGGGTCAGCATTGATATTTCCCCATATGTAATCTTACAGGTCCTCTTTAATCATAGAGCCTCTATGATTGAGTTAAGAGTAACAAAACTTATTAGTGACACTGTTCCCTAGCTGTACCGCACTTGGATGTGTGGTTAGGCCTGTCTAGTACAAATGTTCCTCCCACTTGGAGATTGGTTTAAAGTATTTATTGGATAAGGACACCAGACACAGCCAACATGTTTCGGGGAAAGGCCTCCCTTTTTTAGGGCTTGAACAGCAGTTTGTAATAGAATCAGGATGGAGTTCACCAGAAAGCCTAGGAACAGGACCAGGTCCACATCCACCATACTTTAAGCATGGGTTTACCTTCCTAAAGGAGAACGTACCTTTTATCACCAATCCAGGTCTATCACATATCTACCAGACTACCATTGTCATCCATCAGCAAGGGCAGACTGACCATCTGGAAACTCGGGCACTGCCCGAGGGCCCAGGGTCAGTAGGGGGCCCCATAAGATGCCCCTGGTACCTTTTTCATAGGCTCTTTTGAGTTTGGGCAAGGACGCGGGGGCCCCATGATCCCCTATTGCCCAGGGGCCCCATGAGTTGTCAGTCCGCCCCTGTCCATCAGTGTAATACAAAGGTCACAAAAGTCTGGAGTGCTGTCTTCTCTATGTTCACCTGAAGGTCCCAACGTTATTGATTGGAATGATTTAAGGCCACCATTTTTTCTCTGTTGAACGTTTTTAATCTTTACTTGATGCCCTTGCTCTGAGACAAAGGACTATATCTAACATAATCTGCATTTCTGCCTCCCTGCTTCTATTTATTGTTGATAAAATCATTTTCTTAAGTTTTCCTGCCTTCTACAGGGTGACCTAAGAGTGACAGGAGCTCATCTTCAAGAAACTTGGTGCTCTCTTGGGTGGAAAGTCACATATTCAGATATATTTTAATTTTTGTACAGTATGCTGTAGCTCAGAGGTTGTCAACTTACCACGTATAGAGGACCTCAATTGTGGCTGCTGCCATCACCAAAGGGCCACACATAGGGATCTTTTTATTTAAAAAAAAAATCCACATAGCCGTGAATCTGCATGAATGTTTGTTCTGTGTGAATTGTGCATTTTCTCTTCTATGACTGGTACTAAAATACTACATTATGGCTACCAGATGGAGCCAAGAAACATCAGGTTTTGTAATAAGAGATACAATGTAACAATTGTAGAGAACACTAGAGGGAATTGGCAAATAAATGTCACCATTGGATAAAGTTCTCTAGAATTGTTACATTGTATCTCTTGTTACAAAGACTTCTATATTTCTTGAACTCCTCAACTCCATCTAGTAGCCATAATATGGTATTTTACTGGTGCCCATAATAAGACATTGGTTCAGAAAGAAGCCTAAAGATTCCACTTTTTATAAATAGACTCCATAATGTTCAGTATTTGTAATACTACACAAGACTGTATGTGAAACTACCACAGGATATGGTCAGAGACTGTGGACATGCCACAAGTGTGGTTGGGGACTGGAGACACGGAGTAGGATACAGACAGTGTCTGGGAGCATATTACAAGAGACTGTTAGAGATCACTGCCATCGCAGCCCCTTTACAAATCCATGCTCCCATTACTGACTGCTGGGATCTGAGAGTCGCCAGACAATTACCAAAGAGCTGTATGTGGCCCTTGTGCTGCAGGTTGGGCACCAGGGCTCTAGCTGATTAGTTGTTTTGAATCAGTGGGAGCAATAATTACCCCCAGCATTGATATCAGTGGGAACTATAATTACCCCCAGCATTGATATCAGTGGGAACAATAATTACCCCCAGCATTGGTGTCACTGGGAGTTATATTTACCCCCAGCATTGGTGTCAGTGGGAAAAATAATTACCCCCAGCATTGGTGTCACTGGAAGTAATATGTACCCCCAGCATTGGTGTCATTGGGTGTTAGTCTGGGTTCACACTTCTGCGGTTCGGCATATCGCACGTGATTCACACAGGAACCTCACCACATTCCTGTGCAAATCACATGAAAATTCTGTTTGTTGCAATTTGAGCCATACATTTTATATGGCTCAAATCGCACCGCATCCGCATCAAAAAGGTGCAGGACCTGGGGTGTTGTTAACATACACACCCGCAGCAGTTTGCATAAATGGGGTGCGATTGTGATGCGGTGCAGAATTCGCACAGAAACTGCTGCGAATTCTGCACCGCATCAGTGTGAACCCAGGCTAATAGTTAACCCCAACACTGGTGTCACTGGGAGTAATGAAAGTGGCCCAGCAACTGGTATTAGTGGGAGCAATAATTATCCCTGGCATTGATGTCAGTGGGAGCAATAATGATCTCCAATATTGGTGTAGTAGAAGTAATAACAAATGCCTCCAGCATTGGTGTCAGTGGGAGCAATAACTACCTCCAGCATTGGTGTCAGTTGAAACAATAATTACCCCCAGCATTGGTGTCAGTAGAAGTAATAAAAATACCCCCAGCATTGGTGTCAGTGGGAGTAATAAGAAATGCCTCCAGCACTGGAGTCATGGAGTCAGTGGATTGCAATAATTACCACCTCCCAGCACTGGTGTCAATGGGAGCAATAATTACCCGCAGCATTGGTGTCAATGGGAGCAATAATTACCTCCAGCATTGGTGTCAATGGGAGCAATAATTACCCCCAGCATTGGTGTCAATGGGAGCAATAATTACCTCCAGCATTGGTGTCAATGGGAGCAATAATTACCCCCAGCATTGGTGTCAATGGGAGCAATAATTACCCCCAGCATTGGTGTCAGTGGGTATAATTGTAACTTCCAGCATTGGTGTCTGTGGCTGCAATAAATAACACCCCCCATGCTGGTGTCAGTGGCATTAGTATTTAACTTCTGATGACATTAGTGGTCAATGGCAAAACTGAGCTGGTGCTCAGTGGCAGTGGATTGTACCCCTCTCCCCTGCATTGGTGTTCAATGGCAGTGAAAAGTACACCCTCCAGAATGGGTGGTCAGGGGCAAAGATATTTACTGCCACCGCATCCACCAGCATCACTGGTCAATGGCAGTGAAATGTACACCCACCCATTACTGCCCCCCACCCCCACCACCTTCCTGTGCATTGGTGTTGAGTGTTTTCTTGCCTGCAGTACTGCCTGTCTTCAGGATGACATCAGGTCGGTACTATACCTGGACTGTCGGGTGGAGATCACATCTACCTGCTAGTACCAGTATTTCAGTGCCGGGTGCTTGGATGTAGAGTGTATTCCAGGCACCCCACTCTGCAAAGTCCGAGCGTCCTGGATTCTGCGGGACAGACACTACGAGACAGGGACTAATATCCCTGGACTGTCCCGCAGAATCCGGGACACAGGACAACTATGCCAGAACGGGAGGTGTCCCGACACAGAAAAAGGCCCGCGGTTTGGTAAGGTAACCCAAAGTTTCCAGCTGACAATCTGATTAAATTCTCTTGCAGTGAGTGAGATGTGGTTGGAGATTTTTTTTCCATGAGTTTCTTTTTCTGAATAAATGATGTTTCTGCCGCCCGCCATGGCCCGTCTGCGCTCCTCCCGCCAGCCGCACGGACAATCTCCAGGAGCCAGGATGGGGGGAGGGCGCCGAGCTGTGCACCAATCCGCTTCTCTGATCAGTAACCGCATATAACTGGAGTTTAGGGACTTTCACATATCAAATATATAACAGGAAGAACGTATGAAATAATGTACGTGTGACCCCCGACCCCCCCCACTATAGCAGGAGAGGCGCCAACCGCCAACCACTCCTCAGTATTGAACCCTCACCTGTTATCTGTACAACCTTCATTAAAGAGGAATATTACACTAAACCTGTGTGTGCTTTTATATGGAACCGAGAATTACACCCGGCATCCGGGACAGAATTGGGACTGTGCAGAGTCCATACATACAGAATAAGGACAGATACTGAGAATTACACCCGGCATACGGGACAGAATTGGGACTGTGCAGAGTCCATACATATAGAATGAGGACAGATACTGAGAATTACACCCGGCATCCGGGACAGGAGAAGTGGGACTGTGCAGAGTCCATATATAGAGAATAAGGAGAGATACTGAGAATTACACCTGGCATACAGAACAGGAGAAGTGGGACTGTGCAGAGTCCATACATACAGAATAAGGACAGATACCGAGAATTACACCCGGCATACAGGACAGGAGAAGTGGGACTGCAAAGTCCACACATACAGAGTAAGGGCAGATACTGAGAATTACACCCGGCATACAGGACAGGAGATGTGGGACTGTGCAGAGTCCATACATACAGAATAAGGACAGATACCGAGAATTACACCTGGTATACAGGACAGGAGAAGTGGGGACTGTGCAGAGTCCATACATACAGAATAAGGACAGATACCGAGAATTACACCTGGTATACAGGACAGGAGAAGTGGGACTGTGCAGAGTCCATACATACACAATAAGGACAGATACCGAGAATTAAACCCGGCATCCAGGACAGGAGAAGTGGGACTGTGCAGAGTCCATACATACAGAACATCGAGAATTACACCCGGCATACAGGACAGGAGAAGTGGGACTGTGCAGAGTCCATACATACAGAATAAGGGCAAATACTGAGAATTACACCCGGCATCCAGGACAGGAGAAGTGGGACTGTGCAGAGTCCATACATACAGAATAAGGACAGATACTGAGAATGACACCCGGCATCCAGGACAGGAGGAGTGGGACTGTGCAGAGGGTGTGGTTTCCTGTGGAGCAGCTGCAGGCTGTGTGGTGCTGACCTCCTCTGATGTCTGGTACAAGCCCAGGGTTGGGCTGCCCTGGGCTGGGACACCTCCTAGGAGAGTCCCAGGCTTCTCGGCCTGCTCATGGAGGTGAAGCTGTGGTTGGTGGTGAAGCTGGAAGACAGAGTTCGGTGAATGGAAAGCAAATGGCAGAGACTGTGAGTAGATGTGGGAATGTTGGTGATGGAAAGTCCAGTGTAAGAAGTTCTGGTAATACAGAGAAGATGAAGTCAGTCCAGCAGTGTGAGAATGTCTCTCAGCAAAATGTCAGTTCTGGAAGTGCAGCACATGGCAGTCCGCCATTGCAGCCAGAGCATGCCCAGCAGAGAAGGGCCCAGTCAGTTCAGTCCAAACAGCAATGTAATGTTGTCACCAAGCAAACTCCAAGCTCTGGAGGAGCAGCTCAAGGCAGTCAGCCATTGCAACCACAGCAGGCCCAAGCCGTGCAGAGTGGAGCCCATGCCGTGCAGAGCGGGGCCCATCTAGTTCAGTCTAAACAGCAATGTAAGGCTGTCACCAAGCAAACTCCAAGTTCTGGAGGAGCAACCCAAGGCAGTCCACCATTACAGGCACAACAAGCCAAGCAGAGGAAAGTTCAGTCTGTCCAGCAATGTGGTGTTGTTACCCAGCCTAGTCCAAGCCTTGGAGGTCCAACTCCGGGCAGTCCACTATTACAGGCACCGCAAGCCCAGCAGAGCAAAACCCATGCCGTGCAGAGCGGGGCCCATCCAGTTCAGTCAAAACAGCCATGTAAGGGTGTCACCCAGAGCACTCCAAGCTCTGGAGGAGCAATGCAAGGCAGTCAGCCATCGCAATTACTGAAAGCCCAGCAGAGCGGAGCCCATGCCGTGCAGAGCGGGGCCCATCCAGTTCAGCCTAAACAGCAATGTAATGTTGTCACCCAGCGCACTCCAAGCTCTGGAAGTGCAACTCAAGGGAATCAGCCATTACAGTCGCAGCAAGACCAGCAGAGCAGAGCTCAGTCAATTCTGTTTAAACAGCAATGTAATGTTGTCACCCTGCACAGTCCAAGTCATGGAGGCCTAACTCCATGCGGTCAGCCATTACAGGCACCACAAGCTCAGCAGAGTGGGGCCCATGCCGTGCAGAGCGGAACCCATACAGTCCATGCAGCTCAGGAATGTAAGGTTGTCACCCGGCATGCTTCAAGTTCTGGAACTGTAAATCAAGGCAGTCAGTCATTGCAACAAAAGCAAGTCCAGCAGAGTAGAGTCCATGCCATACAGTGCAAAGTCCATGCCGTGCAGAGTGGTGATCACACAGTCCATATGGCTCAGGAAAGTGACACTATCACCCAGCACACTACCGGCTCTGGAGTAGCAACAAAAGGCAGTCAGCCATTGCAAACAAAGCAAGCCCAGAAGAGTGGAGCCCATGCCGCACAGAGCTCAGCACAGGCCGTTCAGAGCGGGGCCCATACAGTTCAGAGTGGAGCAGAGACACCTGTCACTCCCAGTACTCCGCGCAGATCTGCAAGGACTACGTTGGAGCAGAAAACTCTGAAGGAGAACTTACAGCAGTGTGTAATGGTGGGCAGTGGCCAGGAACGCTCATTACGCCCCAGGTCCCGGCAGAAGAAAGATGATGGAGCCAATAAGCCTCCACAGTCTGGCCCGGAGAGTTCTTCTACATCCAGCAGAGACCCTTCACCCAGTACCGCTGATGGGGATCAGAATTTCAAGCGTCCCGCGGATAGGAAGCAGAAAGTGTTAAAGTCACCTGTGCTGCGCCTGGCTGACAGGATTCCTGCTCTGGAGAAGAGAATGAAGACCTTGAGGAAAGCTAAGGCTTCGACCCAGAAAAGGATTGACTCCATCTACAGACTCAAGGCTGCCGACCCCGGGAATGAAGTCCTACATGACAGCGAGCTTAACGCCCTGGGCATTGAACTGGCCGGTATATCGAGGAACATTGATGCTGTTCTGGAAGAACTGGGACAAGGGGGGGAGGTGTATCGGGATTGTGATTGGGTTGGGGCACAATTAAGTGTTAGGATGGAGTCTTCTTCAGAGTCAGACTCCGGGGAACTGATCCAAGGCACGCTACCAGCAAATGTGCTTCCTGAAAGACAGACTCCAGCTCTGGAGGATAGCGGTAGCGTCAGCTTCACCCAGCAGACTTTCATAGTGCAGGAAACTCAGAGAAGCGACATGGACTCCCAGCACATGGACTATGAGGACGGTGTTGCTACCCCCGGTTCTCATGGTGGAACCAATGCTGAGGGGACTGGTGTTCGGGATGGGGTAGTTGATAATTATGCAGATGAAGCTGCTGATGCTAGTGGTGATGTGGCCAGTGCTGATATCACTAATATTGATGTAGGGGTTCCTGATGTCATTAACACTGAGGTAGGTATGTCTGGATGGGGTCAGGACCAGTCTGAGGACCCTGTGAATGTGGCGATGGAGGAGTCAGTTCAGGATAACACCCGTGATTTCCCCCCTTTGGTTGAGTCGCCACCTGCATCACAAGGGAATAGTGGTCCATCTGGCCATGTCCCTCCTCGGAATGCCTGGAGCCGTGGGGCTCCTTCTTTTTCCAACAATACCGGTTATACTGGTCAGGCCTTCAAGAGGAGGAACGTGGTCAGGTTGAAGCATAGGGGTTCCAGAGAAGAGCTCCCTGATAGGAGGTTTGTAGTTAGGGAGTTGCTGTGTCAGCAGATGGGGTTTGTGCCCGCAGATATTTTGGCAGTCATCAACCTCCCTGACAGACGGGGGTATGATGTCAGCTTCAAGCTCATGTCTGGCTTGGACAGGTTCTGGGCCGGCTTTAGTGGGTTTCGGGATAAAGAGGGGTGGAAGATTTTCACCTTCATCCCCATCTCCAAACCTGACACAGCAAACGTGAACATCATTTTCTGGAATGAGTCTGTGCCCCCCCAGGATATTGTAGTCTGGCTCAGAAGGCATTGTGAGATGGTCTCTGATCTGACCAAAACTAGGGACAGTGATGGGATCTGGACTGGAGGTTGGAGGGTTCTTGTCAAGCTGAGGCAGAGTAACAATGTCACCCATCACCTTCCAAACTCCTTTTTCATTGGGCGAGAGAGGGGAGTTTGCTTCTATGCAGGTCAGCCCAGGCTATGTTTCAAATGCGGTAAGTCGGGTCATGTGGCGAGTGTCTGCTCTATCATGAAGTGTAATCTGTGTGGGGAGGTCGGCCATGTCAGTTCTACCTGTGAGAACATCAAGTGCAATCTATGTGGTAGGCTTGGCCATTTACACAGAGATTGCCCGGTGGCTTTCCACAATAGGGATGAGGAATCAGTGGATGAGGAATTTCTGGTGGCAGCAGAACACCTGGAGGAGGAAGCCTTAATGAATGGGGTCATATCAACTGAGGGGGAGGTAAACCCAGAAGTCCAAGGGGCCAGCCTCGGGCAGGTGGGCAGTGTTCAGCAGGCTGAGGAGCAGCGGCCATCTGTGGCCATCCCATCCGTTTCAGTTCCTGCCTCTGTGGAGAACATTCCCAGGCAGAAGAGAAGGAATAGGAAGGAGAAGGCCACCCGTAAACCTGAAAGTGAATGGACCCGAGTGCAGAAATCCGCTAAGAAGGTGAGAAGGGCGCCAGAAGGTAGTATGGCAGTCGGCAACCGGTATGATGTCCTATCAGAGTCAGATGCTGACTCCTCTGATCTAGAGGACCAAATGGGGGAAGAAGTAGAAAGGGAATCTGCAGCTAGTTCAGGGGAGGACCCGCCCACTAAGAAGCGCCCGCTCCCGGCTCCCGTATTTGTAGAATCCGATATGGAAACTGGTAGTCGGCGGAGTGACTCAGATTCCGATTTATAAAAAGAGTTTAGAGCCGAAAGGAATATAAAATGGGAGGAATTTATTTACAGCATCAAATTCTATGCAGAACTTTCATTAGTTTAAGTTGTTGACTTTCTGTCGTGAAGATGTAGGCAGTTGTTACATTGTTGGTTTGTGTGTTTTTTATGATGATGGTTACAGTTTTGTTACCTTGTAATTTGTTTGTTTATACAAATAAAAATATCCATACATACAGAATAAGGGCAAATACTGAGAATTACACCCGGCATCCAGGACAGGAGAAGTGGGACTGTGCGGAGTCCATACATACAGAATAAGGACAGATCCCAAGAACTGCACTCGCTGAGTGTCCCCTCCAGGGTGGGATATGTCGTCTCCCATGCAGTAAGTGGTGTTCTATATTGTCTGATCTGGTCTTTCTGTAACTGTCACATTCTTTGCCATCATACTGTCAGCAGCACTGTGGGGGGCTCGGGTCGGTTACTGTCTGCTGCCTCTATAATGGGAGCGCGGTCCATTGTTATCGATCGCTCAGCCATAAGCTCCGCTCTCCGCTTCATAATGAGGGGAAATTGGGATGAAACAATCCGATAACAATTTATTTCTTTGTGACAAGTACGCCATGGATGGAGGAAATTGTCCCCCACTGACTTCACCTTGGAACTGACAACCGTTGAATATCCCGCTGTGACAACAGAAAGACATGGTTGTATCAATGTTAACTACGGTTTCCTCCTCATCCTCCATGTCAGCGTACGATCGGCTTTATCCACGTGATCTTTTTTTTTTTTTGTTTGCTTTCTGTTGTTATTCTCATTTTATTGATTATTGCAAGTTACATCCGATCATCTGCTGACATGAGGGGGACCAGGAATATGGAGAATGAGAAAATATATACCGTCATATTCTTTATCTGGTCCCTTCTCGTGACAACATAATTACCCTCACCATACACATTACAATCTGACCGTACAATCAGCAGTAGTAAACCAAAAATGTAAAATATTGCAGCTTACCAATCATTAGATGTGGCGGCTGCAGGGGCGGACTGACCATTTTTTCAGGCACTGCCCAAGGGCCCGGGATCAGTAGGGGGCCCCATGAGATGCCCCTGGTACCTTTTTCATAGGCTTTTTTTGAGTTTGGGCAAGGACACAGGGGCCCCATGATCCACTATTGCCCGGGGGCCCCATGAGTTGTCAGTCCGCCCCTGGGCGGCTGCATTAGTTTTCTTTTATATTTTTTTTTCCCCCCTCTGTTTTCACCTGGTGATCTGTCAGTAACACACCTCTTGTATTAGAGCGCTCTCACTCTGGATGAAGGAGCAACAAAGACAGCAGCAATGTCAGTCTGGGGGGAGGGGAGTGTTATATATACTAGCAGACTTAGATACACTAACCCCAGTTTCACACCTAACCATTTTCTGCAGCATTTTGCAGAAATGCAGTACAGTCCATTTAACATGATTTCCTATGGGACACGCATTTTCACCCGGTGTGTTTTATGGAAAGGGTCAGGGACTTTATTGAAGACAAGTTGTGCTTTTGTTTCTATAGACTTCAATGGAAACGCTGCATGTATTGCATTTTTTATGCATTTTGCATTTTAAATCTTCCTAGCAACAAGAAAAAAAAAAAAATGCAGCACAAACGCATCAAAAATGCAAGTGAAAAAAAAAAACGCAATGCAGAAACGGCTCAAACGTAACCTGCATAGTTGTGAACCGAGCCTTACAAGTTGAAGCCAAACGTCAGCAACTGTTTTGTTTCTTTTGGGATAAAGGTTTTCCATAAAGAAATAAAAGCTGATCATTGTAAGCACCCCTGTCAGTGGTAAATGGTTTACATAGAAACAGAAAAATGACAGCAGAAAAAGGCCAAGTGTCCACTGAGTCTGCCCTTCTTGTAATGCTTTTTTGCTTTTGCTTGTGTTTTTTTGTTTGTTTTTTGTCTTTGTTTTTTCTGTTAAATTTTAGTATAGATCTATGTTTAGCGCTGGCACCCCCTTTTTTTCTTTGTACAAACAAAATATAATAACAATGATCCTTCCTTTAGCAGCTAGAGTGAGCCCGGGTTCACATACATGCGGTGCGGCATATCGCAGGTGATTCGCGCAGGAACCGCACCGCATTCCTCTACAAATCACATGCGACTTGTGTGCGGTGCGATCGGAGTCATACATTTTGTATGGCTCTAATCCCACCGCACCCGCACCAAAAACGTGCAGGACCCTTTTTTTGTCCCGCACTAGAATCGGATCACATGGGTATTCACAGCTATGTGATCCAATTCTGCACATCGCACCGCGTTTTGCGGACCGCTTTTGGGGTGTTGTTAACATACATGCCCGCAGTGGTTCGCATGAACGGGGTGTGATTCTGATGCGATGCGGCATTCACACAGAAAACGCTGCGAATTCTGCACGGCATCAGTGTGAACCCGGGGTCAATCTGTTCCCTTCACATAAAGAAATGGTAATGATAGACATGTGCAGCGCTCTCAGAATAATGACCTCGATATTGTCTCTGTAGAACAGAAGATCAGATGTCATCCATCCATCAACTTCTTCCTGGGAATCCAATCTTCCTATACACTGATCTGCAAAAAAGATATTTAATACAGTGTGCTATGCTCAATACGCCATGCTTCCCGTCCTGTTATATGTGCTGACATTGATCATACAATCCATACGTGTCTTTGTTCCCCAGAGCTCTTTATCTAGCCCTACCCTCCATATCTCTATCCATCCATTCAGTCATATCCGACCCTTGGTGATTGCATGGACTGTCACTTGTAAGCAACTTTTTCCATGAATTCTATTAGCAATTATTTTTACAGGGAAGGTTGCCAGGTCTTTCCCCAACCCCTACCATGCAGGAGAGCCCACATGGCCAGGGATGAAAGTAGGACAATTTAGACAGAAGCCAATTAACCTACCAGCATGTCTTTGGAGTGTGGGAGGAAACTGGAGCACCCGGAGGAAACCCACGCAAGCAGAGGGAGAACATGCAAACTCCATGCAGGGGGGTGCCATGGTCAGGAATTGAACCGATGGCCCATTTACTGCAAGGCAGACATGCTAACCACTCAGCCACTGTGCTGCCCTACCCTCCATCTACTTGCTGTATATCCAATCAGTTATCCTCAGATTCACTGCAGCTCCGTGTCTCCTGGTGTCCGGCACTTCAATGGTCGTGCCACACAATTTCACCCAAAATACAAAATACCAATATGGTCCAATACTGGTTTCTAAAAATCTCTCCCAAACAGAAATCCATTCCCATTATAATATATTCACTGTGCATTCCCATTAATACGCACAGAAGGATCCACCAAGTGTATCACCTCGCCAAAAATACACAATGCAAAACGAAATGCAGAAACGGCTCAAACACAACCTGCATAGGTGTGAACCGAGCCTTACACAGTATATGCGATGCAGTGCAATGTGATCAGAACTCAGCAGGCAGGAGGAAGCATTTTCCTCCCCCCAGGTGATCAGACTATACATTGTAACTTTGTAGCAAGTCACACGGTGAGAGGCTACAGCAGGGGCTGATCTGTGACAAACATTTGTGAACACAGCCCAGAATTGCACAACGTCATAACCAGGGGCGGACTGACAACCAATGGAGCCCCCGGGCAATAGGGGATCATGGGGCCCCTGTGTCCTTGCCCAAACTCAAAAAAGCCTATGAAAAAGGTACCAGGGGCATCTCATGGGGCCCCCTACTGACCCCGGGCCCTCGGGCAGTGCCCGAGTTTCCAAATGGTCAGTCTGCCCCTGGTCATAACTACAGCAAAACATCTGATAAGGTCTGGTGGCAAAAAAACAAAACAGCCAATGAACAGAGAACCTCTGCGGCTTCCCCGGCCAATAGAATGTTGGCTGTGTGCTTCTTTCTGGGCTAGTCCCATGTCTCCCAAAGGTTCCCAATTTGTCAGCAGCTCAGATTGTACTGAATCCAGGGCCGGCCCTGGCTGTAGTGATCCCACACAGAGATTCCCTCCTAGATCCCGAGCGTGTTACTACAACTGAGCTCCAATCACAGCCAAAATAAACACCGATAGTGATGTCCCACACATGGCTCGGCCTCAGCAGATTGTTCACACGAGACGAGGCGGACGAGTCGTTCTTCACACTTCATGATGGATTTCAGAAATGTTGGTGAACCAGAATCATCGCACTGGAAACACTCTTCTCAGAACACATGGCAAACAATCCCGCTACTTAAAGGATCAGTCCACCCAGAGTCAGTCCCTGTCCTAGATACAAACGTGAGATCTCCCTGCCATGGCTCCCTACTCTGATTTCACTGCACACTGCAAGCTCCTCACAATGTGCAGCAGAAGCTGCAGAAGCCAGATGGAGTCAGCCTCATTACCTGGTGGTAGGACATCCAGCATCATCAATCTCTTTCCTCCCCAGCCTGACTGTCCCCTGGCACACTTCTTTCATTCATTGGATTTCAGTTCTTTTAATTGTAGAGGCTTAAAGTGTTACTAAACCCACAGCAGTAAAATCAGTCTGTATATGCAGTAAAGCATGCTTGTTATACTCACTGTGGAACCTAAGGGGTTAATCCTCTGCATTGTGTTAAAGGGCTGTTTGATCCTGACTTCTCTGATCCTCCACTTCTTTCACAGTCCCCAATCCATCTGCTGATAGTACAGAGACTAGGAGGCACTCTGCATATGCTCCGTTTGGTGTATACAGCTAGGGAGTTTTTCTGTTTTGTTTTGGAGGGTGCATGTGATCAGCACTGTCCGGACAGAGGGTCAGGAGTCATGCAGTCTCATAGGACAGTCAGAGGAGAATGAAAACTCCTCCTACAGAATTAATTAGTGCTCTTGGGAGTGATCAGCATGCATGTGATTAGCACAGGGCCAGTCAGCACTGTCCAGACAGAGGTCTGGGGTCCCACATCAAAATCGCAGCAAAAACACACTACATACTTTTCTGCAGCATTTCCATTGAAGCCCATAAAACCAAAAACATAACTTTTTGCGTTCAGAAAAGTTCCTGATCCTTTCCATGAAACGCACCGGGTGAAAATGAGGAGATGTGAACGTGTCCCATAGGAAATCATGTTACATGGACTGTAGGTGTGAACCCGGGGTAAAGGATAAGTTCACCTTTGGGAACATGTTACATTCTCTACCTGTTTTTTAGGGTGGAACCTGTAACACGTTCCCATAGCCGCATTGGCCACCCCCTCCCTCTGACAGATAATATGGGGAGAAGTCTCCCTGTACTATCTGCCAAATTTGAAAACAGCATTGCCATGCGGGGCTCCGCCCACACAGTTGCGTCATTCATTCATGGACTTCCGTGAATGAATAAACCGCAATTCCTGACAACCTTAGTGGCTGCGGACTTGATGTTTTCAAT